GGCTTTTCCTGCGTAATGCAGTAACAGAGCCTTCCTTCCGTTAAAACCAGTGATATTTGCTGCGATCAGATAGTTATCAAAGCGGGATAAACATTTGGTCCGTCGCGGACCCACGGGTTGTTCGTTGGGGTCGAACGGCGGTAAAACGGGCGGCGATATGGCGGTCGCCATCTTGGCTCGCCCCGATATGCAGATAAATCGCCGTATAGGTTAGGTACAGGATGGTGGGGTATGGTAAACTTTCCGGCGAATCCGAAAAATACCTCGTCGCCAAATGTGGCGTCTATGGAGCTGGATCAGCTCGCGCATGGTCTGGTTCGGTGCGAATAACAGCACGCGTGGTAACGGTCGGCGGGGAAACTGTTTATTTCTTCAAGGTCAAACAGGGGTTCATTTCATATGGTAGCCCGGGAGGGTATGATAATACAGGGGAATGTGAATGATTTTCATTTCGACGATACATAGACACTACACAGAAGAGGGGCGAAAAAGAGCAAACAGAAAATACGTAACGTAATTTATGGATGGTCACAAAGCTCACCACCAAGGTCCCCGGCGGAAGCTATCTATGGGTGGAGAATCTCATCCCCGAATGTTTAAAAACAGACAAACACAATTTGCGAGCAAACGATCAATGGCCAACGGCGCAAACAACGAAGCATGCATAATGCAGCGTGCCTCATCATGATGTGATTGGCCAGGTGTCGAGTCATACATCAGGTTGAGTGTTTGTAAATGAATGATCAAATGCAGGATGAATTGGGCAAATCGATAACACTGATTTTCAGGCAAACCTGATTCTCGTGAACAGCAAAAGTTGTCTAGGTCCCCAAATAAGCCTATGAATTCCGATATATTTCTACTAATTGCCATCTCGTCGTGTTTCTATGCGAACAGTTGCATTTGGATAGTTATTTTCAAGCTTTTGTTCCCGTTTCAGTAATGCGTAAATGTGCAAGGAGAGTGAAACCGTGCGCGTTTGACATAATTGATTCACTAGCAAACAACGCACGAACATCGGGTCTGTGTGCCGTTTATATATATATATATATATATATATATATATATATATATATATATATCCATCACTGGGTATCGCACTGTACGTCATTTACTTTCATGGAAAACCTATTTCGTCGGTAGTGTGCCAGCACTTTGCGCGTGCATTCCTTGCTTGCAAACACACCTGCAATGATGCGGATTAAATTTATAAATTTTTGGAAACTACCAATGGAGTCACAACTCCACTAGAAGCCTGATAAGGATAAACGCGACACAGTTCCAAAATCGTTATGGGAGTTAAACCATGCACAGACACCTAACAATCGGGTTTGTCGGTCAGCAGGCCTTTGGTCGGTGTTTGGTGCGGCCATCGCATGACATATGAATGTAAGTGAGGCGGGCACGCCACTCTTGTAAAAAAAATGTAATGCTGACGTCGTGTTGGGAGTTTTTCACCTGTATGCCGCACCTGAGAAGAAGAAGCCCTCAGCGGTGATTGGTGAGGCATCTCGACATGGAGGAACGTGGCACCTGTCGCACGCCAACTACCCGTTACCTCGGTTACCTGCGTCTCCAGACGTTGACTGTACAGTGCATAGCCGGGCGACACTATGCCTGAGTGCACTGTGCAACGCCCGAGGGTGCGGTGATGACCGGATGACCGCCGACCGGGAGGGAAGGCGGAGCGGGGCACTGAGCGCGGACGGTCCTGCGCGTGTGGTCAACTCGGTTGGCGCTGGCCGCTCACACCGAGGTGCAGCTAAGTGGTACGAGTATCAGTGACCGATACATTCAATCTGTAAATGTTTTGGTAATCATATGTTCAGACGTAGTTTGGCTCATCCTGCTCGCCTGGTCGATTTAACCAAGCCGGCAAAATCCTATGCTTCATCAGGATACCTTCGATGTCAAATTCAGCTTCATCTCGTTCCCCGCTGAAGATCTCTTTAGGTCCCAGCAGGTTAGCGTATAGCGCACTGGCCCGACCAGAGTGCAGGGCCCTCCAAGCAACTGGAGATAACCGAGGACCAGTGTACATGAGTGAATGCCCCTTTGCGATCAAGAGTATCCCGGCAGGTTAGCAGAAAAGGCTCCGACAAGAATGAAGGGTCCTCCGCAAAGGAGACGAAAGGGAAAGAGCCATATATCAATATAGACGGCCTCTGCGCATCGAGCACCTCAGTGTATTATCTCATATGGGTCCCAGCATAGGGTCCTCCAAGCAAGCAGAAAGAACCCCAGACTAATATGAACCGCCCGGAGGAACCGAGTGTACCCTGTACATTCGCCCCGGCAATAACGTATAGAGCCTTTTGAGCAAATGGGATGAATCCATGGAGGGCCCCTGACCGATCAACAGAGTCCAAGCTTGTTAGCAGATAGTGCCGCAACAGCGGTGTATGGCTCTCCTAAATAATGCAAAAAATTAGCCCGGCAAGTGGACCTTTTTGGTTGCTCTGGACGGTGTGACGGGCCTCAAAAATGTCCTGTAATCATCAACATCTCAATCAGACAAGAATTATGTTTGTCTGCTCACGGGCTCTTCATTTTGCCTGCGACTATTCGAGGCTATCTGGAGACCCAAATACGTTCAATTTTAACGTGTGTTGTGCCAGGATAATGCGTCCGTTCGGCCTGTTACAGGCTTCTTCGGGGCATAGGGGCTGTCCCTACGCCTGCCTCCCCCCCCCCCCCCTGGATCCTCCGCTGGCCCGAACAGCTGTCCAGATCGGGCCCCCCACAAAGAGCGTAGAGCCCTCCAAGCAAGCTAGAAGTACCCAAGACGCAACGTGGAAGGCCCCCGAACGGTCAGGTGAACAGATGGGCTCCAGAGAAGACCGTAGGGCCCTCCATTCAAATAGGAAGTAGCTAAGACCCAGTGTGGAAGACCTGAAAGATCGAGTGCTCCCGAGCAGGTCAACACATGAGATCCCACAACAAGAGCGTAGGGCGCTCCATTCAAATGGGAAGTAGCTAAGACCCAATGTGGAAGACCTGAAAGATCGAGTGCTCCCGAGCAGGTCAACACATGAGATCCCACAACAAGAGCGTAGGGCCGTCCATTCAAATAAGAAGTAGCGAAGACCCAATGTGGAAGGCCTGAAAGATCAAGAGCTCCCGAGCAGGTCAACACATGAGATCCCACAATATGAGCGCAGGGCCCTCCATTCAAATAGGAAGTACCCAGTACCCAAAAGTGGAGGGTCTCGAACGATCGAGTGTGCACACGCAGGTTAAGAGATAGGCCCTCGAAAAGAGCATAGGCCGCTCCGCAGGCGTCAGAGGATTGCAAGGCGTTAGGCCGGTATGGAGGGCCGACGAGCCTAACGCGAGTGTGTCAGTAAGTTAACCGAGACCATCACAAAAGGACCCTGAGGAACTGAGAACATACCGGCAGGTTAACATGTGGGACCCCCGTTCATAACGTGCAGAGTCTTCCGAACGAATGGGAAGAATCCGTAGAGGACCCTTGGCCCCACTCTCCTGGCCTTTCTCCAAGAGTGCCTCAGCATGCTAACAAAAAGGGTCCCGGCAATAGTGCGGAGCCTCCTACCAAATGTAAAAAGCAAGGGCAGCGTAGAAGACTTCTTGTCAATCGTATTGACTCTGCAAGTGAACATAGAGCGCCCGCGGGAGAAGCGTTGGGCCTCTGGACAGAGAAATGAGCCTTAAGGTCTCTCATGCACCACACTCAATCAGTGAATACATATTTTTGTCGTGGACCTTTCGCTGTCGCTCGTGACTGTCCTTGGTCACTCGGAAGCACAAATATGTCAAATTCTGTTGCGTTTTGTGTTAGACTGCATCTGTTCGGCCGACCATGGGACCCTTCGGGAGGGGCATGACTCCGTTTCCCCCCAACTCCCACTCTGGATTTGCCATTATTGCCGCTAATAACCCATTTACTGTCAAGCCATGGGATGAAAGCTATTTTTTCGTTATAGGTACATCGGGGTGGCATACATCGTTGGGTAAAAGCCAGCACAGCTGGATGATTTCTGACCATCGAAAAGCATGAGTGTACAATTTGAGGTGTATCGCCAATTGATGTCGTTGTATGGCTGTAGTGTAATCTCACTCAGATTTATATGGATAAAAGGATTTATGTCACATACTGCAGTTGCAATCATTATGCACTGTTCGGCGAAAGCTGCGAATTTCTTATGTTATCACTGGGTATGAGAGGGCAAGTAAACCAATCGTTGGTCAGTTAGTACGTCTCAAAATAATTCATATGCATGACGTAGCCCCAAACCTGACAATTTTAGTGGTTTGCATTCCAAGCCTGTCTACATTATCAAGAACATGACCTTTGCGTTCTCTAGTGGAATTGGAATGAAACATTTAGGAAGTAGGTACAGTTTTAGTTGTTTCTATGTTCTTGACTTGAACAAATTAACGTTACGTTGCGAAACCGCGGGCCGGGAGTTTCAGCGTCTATACGCTGTAGTGCTTGCGAGTACGTTAGGTGGGTGGATGCACTTATCTCCAACTTGTTTGTGGAAGGGGGAGGGGGATGCGGCGAGGGATAGATAAGAATGGAATTGAACTGCCATGAAAAAATTGAGTCACCACTAGAAATGAGAGGGGAAGAAATTTAAATGAGGTGGGAATGGCGGGAAGCACTCAACTTACGGGTGGGATAGATAGTGGTGATACCAGAGCAGGAGCCATACTTCCAAATATCACTTCGTAGGTAGTGTACTAGTGTGTCATGGTCGGCGGTGTGCTATAGTTAGTGTGTGGTCTGAAGAAATTGAAAGGTAAAGGGAAAATGGACGTTGCGATAAAATTCTCCCGTCAGCCCATACATTGAACCCCCGTCAGCATGCATGCCGTCACGCATTCCAGCTAACAATTCATGCTGACGACAGGGCGAATGAGGCCACATGCGCACACCGGGAGTTCCCGCCCGATGGTGGCGCCTGCAGTGGCCGTTCCGCGAACTAACAGCCAGCCCGCGCCCATCTGCTTGCGCGCCGGACGGTGCCGGCTGATTGGCCCAAGGTCGGGGGCCCAACGGAGCGGATCCCGACGCCCGTGCGGTTATCAGCCTCCCTAGACACCCCTCCCAAGTGGCGGCGAGGTGAGAGGGACGGGGTCATCAGAGCAGAGCTCTGCTGCTGTAAAGTTGGGCCTTTCTACCGTGTCGCTTGCGACGATCCCGTCTCGGCAATTTCAGTAAATCCATCCAGTCGGTGATCGCGCCTTCTCACGTTCAGCGTTATAGAACTGCACAGTTCGTCCAACGATGGAACCACCGCCCCCAGTGACATTGATTTCCCGCGGTTTTTGTTTTACAGCAAGGAGCACTGTTGCGATCGTGGTAGCAGGGGCTTTTTACAGCTTATGCTACATTGCGGTTAGCTCCCATAATTCGAGCGATTCTCTCTGCTAGCAGCAGTCGTCACGCACTGCACAGAGGCAACTCTTATGACCGTGACTTCCAGTAGCGAATATCACAACGCGGGTAACTACCGTAACTCTAGTGGCCTTGGTGTTCCGCACCAGAAGTGGCACATTTCGTATAGCAATTCCAATCCATTACGACGGAATTCCTCGATCACCCCTGCTCATCAGCAGTTGATGTCATGCTGTGCGAATAGCTGTGGTATCTTTGGAAAATCGGCTTGCATTATCTCATGGCAGATGACACTCGGAGCGAAGATAGTAGGTGGCAAGAGAACTCGACAATCACAATGTGGCATCAGTTATTGCGATTCCAACAACCCTCACTCCTAGCATGAGACGTCGCGCATTGGCACCAGCTGCCAAGGCTGTAGGGGCTTTGGCTTTCAGCGACAGACGTTATCTACGGTGTGCAGGTGTCTATCGATGATGGCTGCCGTAGGCGCGCCCTTCAAACCCAATAACTATCGATGATGGCTAGAGTGTACCTGGCTGTCAGCATCTGGTCTCACTCAGCGCGAGAATTTGCCGTGACTAGTGACCCCCGCCTCCACAGTCCGACGCCGCTGATTGCGGGCGACTTTCATGGCTCTACCGGTTTTGTCGTGCGGCGGCAGGCGCCGTATAGCACGTGCAGCTGTTGTCACTAACGATAGCGATGCTCAGAGCCCCGCCCTTCGTAAACGAATGGAAGCCAATTCCGTACTTTCGAGGTAAGCCCATTCCTTACCTATGACGTCATGTCCCAACCTCCTTCCCTACTCGGCCGATAGGCGAAGCAAGTGCGCTTGTTTACAAGTAAGTCGTTGGCGCTGACACAGCGGCGCATAGCAACGGTCGATGCCCTGTTGGCGATCTCCTATGTCCGGCAAACAGGTCATCTCGATCTCATGTGAAAAGCGTGATTGATTACACTGTTTTTAGCTGCAGATCACTTGCTACCAGCTGTTATCTGAATAATATTCAAGTGCGTGGTTCTTGCGCGTTATGTCTCCATGGGGTTGGATCAGCTGATTCTACTCGCGCCTTTATTTTGAACTAAAGGCGTTCTTCATTGGCCTGTATGCATGGCGTCACCGCAGTGGGCCAAGCTCGGGTCGTGAGTCAATAAGAGCTGGGGGTAGGAGAGGAAGTCCCACGTGGTGGGTGCGTGTTATTTGCTTTCATTTGTCGTGACTTTCAGCAGCAATTGTCTCACATTGCGGGCAGTTGCCATGTCATTGCATGACTCATTCCTTACTTTGCGCTGGGAAACACTGAAGGACTACTTACGTTGGTTTCGAGCACCACGTGCCGCTTAATCGAGATAGTTTTCGTGACTCTGGTGGCTTCGACTTTTAGCAGCGGGTGTCCCAAAGTTCGAGCATCTCCCGAGATTCTAGTGCTCTTAATCCAGCAGCAAATGACACGGTGGTGGAATTTTTCGCTACCCGTTACTTCACTGTCTTTCAGTTTCAGCAGCACCGCGGAAGCATTCTGGTTAGCGACATTCACGCCTCGCCGGCCCCACGCCAACTGCAATCCAACGAGAGGAAAGATGTCGGAGGAAGACCAGCAGAAGGATAGGATGCCGACGGAAGACATGCAGGAGGATGCAATGTCGGAGGAGGATCAGCAGAATAGGATGGCGTCGGTAGCTGAGGTAATGTTCAGCTCATTGCTGGGCAAAGATCAGTGGCAGATGTCTGAGGGTGGCCCGTTCATGGAGATGATGTCAGAAGATGATGAGTCGGACGACACGGCGTCGGTGGCGGATGTCGACGACACGGCGTCGGAGGTGGTCCGGCGGGATGGCCCGACTCCTGAAGAAGAGGACATTCTGGGCGGAATCACCGCGGAGGTAGACACCTGGCTTGGAGCTTCTCCCGCCCAGAGGAGCTCCGGAACCTTAACGTCGATCCTCTGCACCATGGTGTTCCTCATCCACAGGGATGATACCGCCATGCAGGGGAACGTGGCTCGATTCGAGAAAAGTGTGGCTCGCAAGTTCAGCGCAGATAAAAAGGGCGCTCTGCCATTGCCACTGCCCGTGCCGCCGAGCCAGGCGGACTGCGCATGTGCAGATCTGCGCACATTGGCCGTGGAGTGGATCTACCTGTCTGGCAGCGTTCGCGAGGGCAGCGACGTCGTGTACATCTCCAGCAAGGTTTCTGATATGGACCTCATGTTCCAGCTGGGACCTATTACGGTACTGCCGCAGACCGGACCAACCGGCATGGTGCCAGACCAGCCTGGTAACGGTGTGTCAGACCAGCCTGGTAACGGTGTCTCAGACCAGCCTGGTAACGGTGTCTCGGACCAGCCTGGTAGCGGTGTCTCAGGTCAAGCCGGTGACGGAGTCCCGCACCACTACTGTAGCGATGTCGCGGGTCACGCTGGTGATGAGAGTTCACAGACGGGCGTGGAAGTCTGTGAGGAGCCCACTGCACATCCGGGGTTCGTGCTGCTGCGTCACCAGCGCCGACCCGACTGCCGCCATGCCGGCCGCTTGCTGCTCTCCGGCCAGCGCGTGGTGCGCCTGGTGGACGGCTTCAGCTCGGCGCTGACCCCCGACTCGGCGCCGTCACATTCGGGCCCGGCCGTGTCCACGACCATCGCCGACTTGCTGCAGGTGCGCAGCGACTTTGACCTGGTGCCGTGCGTGCGCTATCCGAACTGGCAGTGCGATGAGTATCGCGCTAGGCGGCGGCCGTCGGGACAGCCGAGCGCCGCGCTGGTGGCATGCCTCTGCCGCGCGCCCGCCTTCCTCGTGCCGGTCGGCTTCCCCGGCAGCACGGGCGCGCAGCACGAGTGGCGGCTCTCTTTCTCACGTCATGAGTACATGGCGTACCGCGCCATGAGCCAGACGCAGCGCACATGCCTATCCGTGCTCAAATTCTGCAAGGCTTTGCTCGGCGAGGCGGTCACCGGGCTGAAAGGCTACTACATGAAAACAGCTTTGTTTTGGCTGTGGGAGACGTTGCCGGCGGCGCGCTGGTCGCCGCACTCGCCACTCGAACCGCTGCTGGCCGTCCTGGACTACCTCGAGCGACGACTGCAGGTCGGCTCGCTGCCCTGCTACTTCCTGCCCGAGATCAACCTATGGGCCTCCCTCAGCGTGGCCGAGCTCCGCCAGTTGGCGGCGGCGCTGGCAGGGATGCGCGCCGGCCTGACCTCCGCGCTGCTGACACTGCTGACCGACTGGGCGGACGCCAAACTGCCCGACATGACCGAGGAGAATGAGGTACTGCTGTTCATCCGCGGCGCACTCCTCGTTCGCTTGCGCCACCTATTCCGGCGGCTGTTGGAGAGCCGCGGTCTGGAGGTGGAGCTGGTGCCACGGGATGACCTGCCGGACGAGCCAGGTTCGGTCAGGCGTCACCCCATCCTGAACGGACGGCGCATACTGGACACTTACCTCGGAGACTGGGATGTTTGGTATCCCCTGGATGACGCCAGGGGGGACAGCTGGTTGGAGGAATAGTGGACGTGAAGCGCTGTGAAACATGATGCTGGGGTGGAAGGAGCAGTGCTGTAGAGCCAGGCGCGGTGACGGCATGGCAGCATTCCCGGTCACAGCCGACCGGTTGTTAGGAGCAGAAGCACATTCAGGACACGCTGTGCCTGTACTCGCGTTCACTGTAGCTCCCAGCGCAATATAGCTTCGTTTTAGCTGTGCGGATAACTGATTTATACGACCAGGGATTGGCAACCAATTCAAATACAGTATCTACGTAACAACAGGCCATTCGCCGGGCTTTGAAGTCATTAAGGCTCCTGAACCCAATATATGATATCGACTTCAAACCCTTATCGATTCATCGTTGTATATGACGTTACCCAACTAAGGTGACCAGATATTTTCGGTTGTCATTGTCCATTTTAGACGCAGTTTCATCACTGTGGTCCACTTTATTTCATTCATAGAAGAGCGCACACATCACTTGGCATCCAAATTGTATTACATGCCGCAAGTTCCCAGAAAAACGTACGGATTTCGTCTTTGAATAGCGGCTCTGGTACAAAACTAAACAAGACCCACGTGACTTTTGTGTAAGCCATCTTACTGTCTGAGTTTTTTCAGCATTTCTCGAAAAAAGCTGTGCTGACAAACAAGAAATGTTACTTCAAGACAAATTCAAGTAGCAAAGCTCACAGTAAGTTTGAACGACAGTTCAAAACATAAAAAGCGCCACCAAGACCCGCGGTTCTGTGCCACGTGCGGGGCTTATCGCAAAGGATGGTCTTAAAGGGAGGACGCCACCTGTTTGCGGGGGTGGATCCAGAGGGGGATGGGGCCACCCCCCCCCCCCCCCTTGCGCCCCGACGGGGCTCATAGCCGGCCGTACAGGTGCAGTTTTTTAAAACACAAAACGCAACAAAATCGGACATCTTTGGACTTGCAGGCGACCAAGAAAAGTTGCGAACGAAAGTAAACAGTCCACGAGTGGACAAAAACAAAACTTCCATGATTGAACAACTATTCGATAACTTTAAACTTCATTTTGCTGTCCAGGGGGCTTATGCCGTTTCCGAGGGACCTTTATGTGCTCACTTGCAGAGTCGTTCTGATCGTTAAGCAGCTTTCCACTTTGCCCCTGATTTTTAGCATTTGCTCGGGGGGGGGGGGGCTGCGCTGTTGCTGGGCCGTTCCTGCTAGCGTGCCAGCGTGCTCTTGCCAATCAGGGGCCTTCCACAGATTCTTTCCACTCGCTGGAAAGGCTCTGTACGCTATAGTTGGAGCCCCACATGTTAACATGTCGGAGTATACTCGGTTGCTTAGGCGCCCTTTATGTTGGTCTCGGTTAACCTATGGACACACTCACGATATGCTCATGGGCCCTTTCATTAGTCTAGGGCGCTTCCAATTCTCTGCCACTTGCTAAGAGGCCTTCAAGCTTGTTGGGCGGCCATCAATTAATTTCCTTGGGCACATCGGTCGCTCGGGGTACACCAGATTAAGTCTTAAGCGCTTTCTATTTGAATGGAGGAATGGAGGAATTATATTGAAAACCCTACACATTTAGCGGGGCTCCATCTGTTGACTTGCTTGAGCACACGGGATTGTTTGGGGCCTTGCACATTGGGTATTTTGGTGTATGGCCCTGCGCTCCTGCCGGGGGCCATCTGATAGCCCTCTCGAGTACACTCGAGCCTACGTGGGCCCTCCACGATTGGTCTTGATACGTCTTATTTGAATGGAGACCCTACGAGCTTCTCTGGGACCCCTCTGTTCACTTCCTCGGCGGCACTGGATTGTCCGGAGACCCTGCACATTGGGTCTTGATGTTTGAGTTTAGCACCCTGCATTCCTGTCGGGGCCATCTGATAACCTGCCATATGAATATTATAATGCAAAAGCTTAAAACAGTCTGTTGAAGGCAACATATGCAGACATTAAACTATTATCCCGCGGATTCAGACAAACGTCATCCCATGGCTTCGATTTATCCCCGATGTAAGTGACCATAACGACTCTTTTCGAGGCGCACATTGGCCTTGGAAATGGGAGCATTGCATGGTACACAGTGCCTTGGTCCATAGAGACGCGTTGGTTCAAACTGCAACCAATCCGCGCCTTGGTAACAGACCCTCGCCGTCCGCTGTGCCAATCACGAACGTTCTTTTGTAATGACGCCATTCACATCAACGGTCGTGACGCCGGTGGCCGCGACGACTGCAGTTGCCGAGAAAGAAGTGTGGTGCTGTTACAAAGCGTTAACGGCGTAATGTAGGCTTAATTATAATAATTAAAATGAATGTCCTTACTATATCTTAATGGTGCCTCAGTGGCTATGATTGGACGTAACTGTTCCTCAGTTTTCACTATAGGATGTTTTTGAAATATGTTCCAAGGGTGAGACACGCTCTTTCAAATGTTACTGGTACAGTCGGCCCCCGAAAAACAAATGTTATTGTATCGTCATAACAAAAAAGCAAAAAAGAGCTGTTAAAACAATAGCAGCTCTTTCCAATAATCTATCATACGCGCTACAACGCCAGTGTCTGAAATGTGAACGTTAAATCCGTCCACTTTTCCCGTAACGCTTTGTACAGAGACCATGCGTCAGATGGCTCAAGTACCAACGATGAGTAAGATATTCCTTAGTCGGCATTCTCGTCGACGTGAGTAATGTCACATGCCAATTCAGCAAAAGAAAATACAAAGCGTCAACGAACTCAAACCAGTGAGGAAGAACCTCCAAGAATCAGGTCCTGAGGAAGGTTCATCCAGCGCAAGGACTTTGCTATAGCGGCTTGGGAAGCGGGAATGAGACAGAAGGGTTTGGATCAAGATTGGGCGCCAAACATTTGAACCTATCAACATTTGAACAGGGAAACGCCTAGCACTGATGTGGTTCAGACGTGCGGCGCCTCCAAAATGGAAAGTAGGACCGATAATGGGGTACATTTGTTTGGCCTCGTGCTGACGACGCAAAGCAGTATCACGAATGGTGCAAAGGCACAGATCCTCGCGCGGCAGAAATGAATGTTTCGCGAGGCCGGTGCAGAGATGAAGAGAAGAATACGGCGGAGACCTCCACAAAATACATAACCGCCACGGATAATGCTTTGTCCTACAATCATCATCTCACTCACATCCCCCTGCGAGCAGAGGTGTTAACCCACTGCCTGTATGCTGTGACGAACAAATGACGATCATGAAATATTGGAAATTAGTGACGGAGCAGCTTCAGCTGTCCATCACAGCCATCCCGTTTCTTTGTGGTCCAATGAAATGTCACAATGCCTTATGGAGAACTACATGTCTTGTCATCGCTCTATAACCCCCAAACACCGCCTGACTGCGGGCCTCTTAACAGCGTATGTTACGCGGGGGTTTCCCTGCTTTACGTCGTGAGTAAATATTCTTGATTTTCGCGCTTGTTTTACTCTTATGCGGCATCTTCCTCAAACTGGTCACCATTATGTTACGCGAAGAGATTTCCATGTTATATCGTCATCGTTTCCTTCAACTTGATTTTTGCCGTCCGTATAACTAGCAGTACTGGCTTCTCATTTTTTTTTTCAGCAATATCGTCATGCTCATCCGACGGATTTCTGACCCACACGAAACGCCAGTCACGATATTCCCGCAGCGCAGCTTGTATAAAAACAGGCGCCGTGACGGACTCAGTTTAAATAAGTTCCTGCATGTTTTTTGAAGCTACGTAGCCGCGCATGACCTTGTGTAATGCATGAGGTCGTGTATACCTTTGCATGAGGTCGTGTATACCTTTGCATGAGGTCGTGTATACCTTTGCATGAGGTCGTGTATACCTTTGCATGAGGTCGTGTATACCTTTGCATGAGGTCGTGTATACCTTTGCATGAGGTCGTGTACACCTTTGCATGAGGTCGTGTATACCTTTGCATGAGGTCGTGTATACCTTTGCATGATGTCGTGTATTCCTTTCTAGAGAAGTGCCTGTACTTACGAATAACTGACCTCACGAAAGAAAAAAACTTTGGGAGTAATATCTCCACCGGCAATAATCAGATTTCCGTAAATTAGCAATGCTGTCATTGTTATTGGCAGCTGTTGGCTAGATGGCCCTCTGCATTGATCTACAGGTATTTCCCAGCGGGGCGATTCCATATAACAGGTCAGAATTACGCGCGAGCACGTGATCTCAAAAGACCTACAGAACGCGTATTCCAAATCACCTAAAAAGAGAAAAAGGGCCGGGGATCTCAGAATCGTCGAAAGGTCGCCGATTCCTCCGCCGGGCTTACATTTTGAGAGGTGAAGCCCAGTGTCCAGCCGTCGACGCGCCAAAACGATAGGGCTCCCCACACCGTGCCTGTATCACTGTCTGAACTTTCCCATGTACTGTTTTGAACGTGCCCCTGTGCTGGTTGAACGTGCCTCTGTACTGATTGAACGTGCATCCTGCACTGGTTGAACGTGTCCTACTTCGACGAGGTCGGTGTTTTTTAAGGGCCGCCACCTATTGATCGTCCTGGCGCGCATGTCCGGAACGAGCACTCGGGCCAAAGGTAACACACAAAAAACGTACCCGCACATTGAAAAATACAGCATATGGCCCGCGGCGGACGTACGCACCACACGTACCAACAGACTTGTTCGCTGACCGCTCGGACGAAGATGGGTCAGCCGCTCTGGGAACGCAACAGACGATGCTCCGGTCCCGCAGTTCGTATCGATGTGCTCCAGCTACGTTAAGGGCTCGCGAGTCTCCTGTAGATCCGTTCGCCGCGTCATAATGCACTGTAGATCAGGCACTGTTGCTCAAAGGTGCCATTCACATGTTATATCGCCTGCGGGCTTTCACATGACGCGAACGTCTGCCGAGAGCAGCCCGAGCCGGCGGCAGCAGTCGTCCGAAGGCCCACTCAATGGATGCATTGCTCACCCTGGTAGTGCATTTAGAGGAAGAGTGCAAATGGAACATGCCCCCTTCGCACAGGGGAACAAGCCCCCTTAGTAGACGTACCTGGAGCCCCATAAAGATCCTGGGATCTCATTAGCACGGAACCATATGGGATCCTGGATTCACCCTTGGGATCTATGCACATGTCTACTCCTTGGCGAACTGAATTTCCAGATAGCACGGAGCGCAATTATTACGGGTTGTTCAAAGCCTATGGTGATGTGAACTTCGAGCTGTTTTGTAGCGATTAATGATATTGACAATACAAGAAAAGCATTTGTCTGTTTGCATCGGCATTTGTGTCGAGCGTATAAGTATGTCGTGTTCGAAACATTTCTCCGGGAGTGGTTAGACAAACATGGACTGGTTTCGACTGGGCCGTGGGTTTTGCAGTAACCTTACATATTAAAATATCCACGGTTTAAAGGCTGCAGTTCCGCTGCGCACTCTTCGCGTGACGCGTGGCAGGCGTCATTTGAAGCGTTTGACCAAAAGCCAAACACTTCATGGTTCATTTGCTTTGTTCCCCTTCGTTGATGTTTTCGCGCTGTTTTACAGACATCTCTTTTTTACTCATTGCTGTATTACTTCACCCAAATTGACGCAAGACTCCCCACAAAGAAATACACATGGTTCTTAGACAAATATCACGCCCAAACAGCGTTAGAGTACTTCATCCGTTCACCGATATGCTGAATGACCTTGACGCACGTGGATTGCCAAGAGAAATCGTGGCATTCTAACTAGTTCTCATGCCGGACCCGGTCCCAGCACACAACCACCGGATGCTCCCGGCTCAACAAGGTAAACATTCTTGAGTCTAACCCGAACGTGGCATCACTTTCTCTGTCTAACAATGCTATCGTCGCTACCAAATATGCATATCTCCCATGGAGCCTACGCCTGTCCATAACCAAACAGCGCCTGTACACTGAATACCAATACATCCCGTCAAAAACAGTCACTTGTTTCGCATCGATGGTCGCATAAACCATCCATTGCTCTGAGTCGCTAACATTGTCATGTGCGGCAAGGCGTGGCTTTGGAAGGCTGACGACTGTCTCCAAGCGTCGAAAACATTCTGTAAAACAACCGTTGCACTGTGCGCCACTGGCCAAGGCACATCCAGGAAGAAGACGTATTGCACGGGCACGCCTAAGACAAAGCCCCTTTTCCTAATCACTATTCCCCTGATCGAATAATCACGTGGCCATTGCGCCGACCCGGTCCCGTCTCAGGGCACCCACCTCTCCAGCCCCGTAGGCGGCCGCTCGTGGCCTACACCAGCTGGCCGAGCTCGCGCAGGATGGGCAGACTGGCGGCACGCACGTCCTCCGGCCGGAACGTGGGCCGGAAGGCGCGCACGTCAGCCAGCCGGAGGCTGTCGGTGCCACACTGGCGCGCGATCAGCGCCCGGTTCATCTGCGCCACGCGGCCGCCAGTCAGCGTACGCAGGAACGCCCAGTATGAGCGGCTGATCTGGTGCGGCTCGAGCACGGCGGCGCTCAGCACGACGCCCGTGCTAAGCGCGTACAGCAGCGGCACGGCGCCAGGCGCACGCGGCAGCCGACCGCTCGCCGCGCCGTGCGCGTACCACGCCTCGGCTGTCTTCCAGAAGAGGTAGAGCGTGAGCGACGGGCTGTTGTAGAAGCGGAGGCCGGCAGCAGCCAGCAGGCCGGCCGGCACCGCGTGCCAGGCGGCGTCGCGGCCGCGCCACCGGCGCAGCAGGCAGCTGGCCAGCCGGAACAGGCCCGAAACGGAGCCCAGGCAGAGACCGAGCGGCAGCAGGACGACAGGCGACGGCAGCAGCGGCCGCCGCCCGCTAGAGGCCAGGCGCAGCAGGGCGCCACCGCCCGTTACGCCCGCCTGCACCGCCACGCCCAGCAGCAGCGACTCGGTCAGTCCGCGCCACGCATACCGCAGGCACGCGCCGTGGTGTGGGCAGAGCCCAGGGTGGGCAGGAACGGACAATGGCCTGTCGCTGCTCTGGCTGCTCTGGGTGGTGATCTGAGGCTTCCCAGTGATCATGCTGCTGATGTAGTTGAACAGTTTCATTCCTGCTGTGAGGTCTTTTCTGCAACTGCCAGCTCTTGGTGGGTATATTTCAGCTGTTCCCAGCAGTGCCTGTGCTAGCTGGCCAACCAGGGCCTCAGATCTGCCAAGCTTGTACAGGTACATCATTGCTGCTAGTGCCACAGATGCAAGCAAACTTCGTCCATGTGGAATGTTTGGGACAAGACCTTGTTCTAGCAGAAAGTTGAACAGTGTTTCAGATGCCACATTCATCATGTACACAGTCAATACATCTCTGCGGCTCTCCCTTTCAATCATAATGGACATGTATGAGCTAACCACACATGCCAACATAATTCCTTCTCTCACAGGGACAAATGGTAGCAGCCATCTCACAGTACAAAAGCTTGATAGAAGAAAGTAGCAGTTGGCACCAAGGAAGGCAGATGACTGCACAGTTTCCTTAAAGATCTTCAACACCATTTCTGCATTCCATTTTCTAGATTTCACCAGCCTTGATATGATAAACAAGGGCAAGTATATCTTTGCAGCTTCTGTGATGCCAGGCACACCCACATCAAGCCATGACTTGAAACATGAAGATGTCCATGCATGGGCCACTTCATGGCAACCACATGGATAGCTTGACAACTTACTGGCCACAATCATTGTGCAATTGGTGGAGCTTACTTGTCAGGAAGCATGCAACTTATATGTGCCCAATACTTCAAAGTGAATTCCACAAAAATGGCTCTTTTTCTCACTACATACCAACTTGAATGACAATGGTGCAAATTTGAATTTGGTGCATCCTTATCCTTCAAGGTGGGTGGGTATTCAATAGGTATTATAATTGACTGATGTAAAAGATAAACACATCAACTGAATGACATGTAAAGTAAACTTGGCAGTCCACAGCACAAAGTTCAGTTCATAAAAAGAGCTCCAAGCCTGCAGACCAAGAAGACCCACCCACTCACTCAGTGCACTGGAGTGAAATCGTTATCTGTAGGCAGAAATCATTGGTTTTGACCTATCAAACACAAGTCACTCCCAATCTTGATCCTTATGTAGCACTAGCCAAACTTGCTGACAATTATTCTGTCACTTCTGCTCTTTGCCTCTATCACCAAATACTATTTTGCCATCTTGGCCATGACAGACAGCTTCTGACAGTTCAAGACGATGGCTGATAGTCAAGACGAATATCCGATCAGTCCATATCAGCTTTCCTCACGTCGAGTACCTAGCCAGATTACAATGCTCCGTTGTCAAACTCTTCTGGGATCTCACCCATCACCGTCCCTCACAAAGGGCGCTGGTTCCTTTCAAGCATGCCCCTATATACCATTGCAGGCAAGGTTACAAGTTCCAATCGGATTTTGAAGAACGGGCAACAAGGCAGCACCGTTTTGGAGAACTAGCGTAAAACCGCAACACCCAACACCAGCTCACTCAGCAAATTGTCCAATACGATCATCACTTGTCACAGATGCTGCAGAAGCGCCGCAATATTAGCTCCAAACGCACGAATGGTCAGCTGAATGCCGCCTGACGTGACATATTTTTCTTCAGAATGTATGTTAAAGCAATTAATGCAAATTTGCCACAAGATTCTAGAAGACTATTTTAAATGATTCCTTAGTATTTTACGCAATCTATTGTGCCCATGAATTCATGGGTGGACAATTCACTTGTAACTAAACATCACTTACGTCATGAATAATCCATGACGCCAGGAACAAAAACCGCCCTTTTCCGGTTCGTTGAGACGCCACTGCTTGCGATACTGCTATGGCGAGCCCGACAGCGATAGTTTCATACAACGCCGACTCCTGGGAAGAGTGCATCAAGGGTGGAAGCGTGGAAGGAAAGTCTTTGTCTGTGAGGATAAAAAATTTGCAGCAGACATTGAATGTAAGGTTAACGGAACTTGTGGATAAACAACGCGCAAATGGTGAGCCAACTTATTCGTTGATAGGTCTCCTGCTGTGCTTGCAGGAAGGACGACGGCCTCCATGGTTACAGGTACCATGGTTACCTTGATATTGTTTGCACGTCACCCATGCCAGTCACGCTGTCACTTTTACTAGGACTTCGCAAAGCATCCCTCTCGTGTTTGCCTCAGCACAAGGCTGTCTAAGCCCCAGCAGGTGTGTCGCATGCGTTGTAATGTCAGCTGTTTTAGATGACGTCACAGAGAGCCGTGCTTCGTCTTTTCGATGCTTGCGAATTGTGATATGGCAAAAGCCGAGCTTCAGAGCCGCAAAGCGTGATAGGGTAACGTAACGATGCATGCTTTACTTGCCACTGTGCTCCCCAAATCCCTTGGTTTGTGGCCTGAACTGCCAAGAAGCTCGGATTAAAAAAGGGATTGCACCCTCATGTGGGTGACAGCACGCAAGGCTTAGGGCAGTCCAAAACCTCGGCCCATAACTTTGCCTGACATTTGTAGTCTAATCGGTTCTGACACTCCCTTGTGGTGCTTAACTCGCCGAGAGATCTTAGTGGCGGTGTTGGAAGTGTTCACTGTCAAATAATATTGTGATGTGCTCGTGTTTTGACCTTTTCGCCTGGTATGCTCCTGCATATTTATGCGAGTTTAAGATGTTGAGTGATGCTCACACACTTGGTCATGGCTCAAGAGTTATTCGACTAGAAGTCTCATTTCCGTAAAAACTAGCAGGCGTGTCCAATTCCTTGTGTTATCTAGCACAAAACATTGTGCGTGATTGAGACTCGCGCAGCTTGCTCAACATTGATCCAGAGCCAATTAGCTCCCACTCTGTTGGAAGTCGTGCTCACGGACGCCGTATCTAAACGGTTCGACGACTATACCAGTCGGGACCGTGAACGCCACATGACCAATGGGGTGTCAGTATTTCAATGACGTTGCTGTGGAGTCATCCATGTCTGAATGAACTCAAAATAGTCTGTATATCTTCGCGGGCGTTAATCTAAAAAAAACTAGAGGGGTTAGGTCTAAAGAAGGGCATGGCTGTGAACTACACCAAATTGTCTTTACGATTTTACGATACGGGTATTGGCTATGACATCAACAAGAGGATCCGGTTGAAGCGAGTTGTGACCGATGCTATCCCGAACACCCCACTTCTTCGCGCGGTTCGCTCGCCTGCCCACAGAGGCATCTCATGGTGCTCGGCCCGGCGGCCGAAATCATATTCGGCGACAGCTACCACCTCCACCCTTGAACTAGTGCAATGGGATCGTGAATGCCGCCCGTCGTAAAGTCTAACGAACCGGCAGGGGTATCGGCAGCGCAGACTTGGTTCTAAGTCAAGCCTACTTCAATTTCTGCCTGTTATAGTACATCTGCCTCGACCTGGCTTGTTTGCAGCGAAGGGCGACGTGAACCAGACGACAGTGGCGGACGCCACTGACGAGGGCGAAAGTGAAGAAGATGAAGACGAAGACGAAGACGCTGTTCCAAGGAAGAAAGCAAAAACATGAATGAAAAGTGGTCATGAGTCTCGATGAAACGTTGCCTAATAAACCTCACCTCGCCCAAACCTCAGTCGTCTCACTACAGATTCATTTCGCGTCTCATTTGCAACAATACACGCACCAATCACATAAAAGGGCTCTGTACCGATCGCCTACACTTGTCGCGGCCGGCAACGCCTACGCGTGATACATGAACGGCAGCAGCACGGCGGGACAGTGTGTGAATCGCGGCGGGCTCTCGCCGCCGGCCGTCATCAATGCCAGCAGCGCGGGCGGCACCAGCACGGCCACGCCTTCCACCACGTGCAGCAGCCGGCACTCGGCCGCCGACGGCTGCGCGTACGCCATGTGTAGTCGCCGGCTTATGTAGTCACCGTGCGCCGCCACGTGCGCCACGGTCACGTGTCGGTCGAGGTGCGGCACGTGCAGCTGCAGCTCGGAGCGGCGGCTCTCGGAGCGCGCCAGCCCCGGCGCCGCCACGTGCCGCAGGCGGCAGGCGGGTGCCAGGCGCGCGTACAGCGCCGCCAGGAGGCGCAGGCTGGTGTCGAAGGCGGCCGGCGCTTCGGCGGCGGCGCAGGCGGTGAAGTGGCGCACGGCGGCGGCCTGCGGCGGCTGCAGCAGCGCCTCGCCCGGCGCGGCGGCCGCCGGCGGCCGGTACAGCCGTCCGCTGGCGAACAGGCGCACCGGCAGCGCGTCGGCCGGCTGTCGGCTCTTGGCCAGCAGCGCGCAGACGGCCGGCAGCGAGGCGCCGCCCACCAGGTGCAGGCCGAGCGGCGAGCCGGCGGTGCCCTCGTGGCAAGCCGCCAGTCGCGCCACCTGCGCCGGGTCGGCGAACTCGAGCCCGCAGCCCTCGGCCACAAGGCTTTTCACCGTGTCCGGGCAGCTGACGCGCTGGAAGCCGGCCGCCGCCAGCGCATGACACGCGTACTCGACCAGCGCCTGCTCGCAGCCGGCCGCCGCGCCGTGCAGATAGTAGGCGCCGGGGCTGACAGCCGACGGCTCGACGTCCGGCAGCAGCGGGTCGGCGGCGGGCAACGGCGCGCGCTCGGCCGCCTCCGGCTCCGCTGGCACCGGCTCGAATGTGTCGGCGACCGGCGTGCGCGGGTCGACGGCGGCGGGCAGCCGCGCCAGCCGCGGCAGCAATGCTTCTTCCAGCGCCCAGAGCGGCTCCTGCAGCGCGCGCAGCCGTGCCTTGAGCGTGGCGCCGTCGCGCCGCAGCCGCGCCTCCTCTTCAGCGTCGGGCGGCGCCGCGCGGCGCAGCGCCGCGCCGCGCGCCGCCGTCTCAGCGCGTTGCCGCGTCAGCTCGGCCTTCTCGGCGGTGAGCATTTCCAGCCGGTGGTGGTCGCGCACGAGCGCGTCCACGTCCTCGTGCCAGCCGCGGCGGCGCACGCTCTCGCGCAGCGCGTCCGCATACGCAGACTGCAGCGCGTCGTCGAGGCACGGCCGCAGCACGGAGACGACGCGGTCAGCGGCGCGGCCGGACACGTACAGCGCCGACGGCAGCGGCGCGCGGCAGCACAGCGCGCGCAGCAGCCGCATCGCGACCCCGCGCGGAAGGACGTATAGGAACGATCAGATAAAGCACTGCACGCGATCGCGGACAGGGAGTGTGGAGACACCGGGATACAGACACACACCACGCACCAAACGTCTGTATTTGGGCGGACTATTGGTCGGAGCCGTGGCCGGGCGGGCGCAGGTGCCGGCTCTTCCCGTCCGAGATGTCCAGGGCTTCGTCGGCGACTCGCGTCAGGCCGCGATACTCCAGAACGCGGACCGTATCAGACTGTGAGGCGCTCATAAGACGCTTGACTGAAAAGGAGGAGCGGGCTGTCAGCTGGACTCACGGTCACAAGACGTCCATATCATCCTTCCGAGACCATATAAATAGTGCTAAAGCAACAATCTAATACAGCCCCGATCGTGCTAACAGAGTGCCACCCGCCCAGACCACGATGTAGATGATGCAAGCGCTCGCTTGCCGGATGCAACCATCCGAAAATGCCTGCCTTGGCGATGTCGAGACAGCACATACGCAGCCGTCAGCGTATGAACACGACACGCGCAATAGCCAAGAACACACTCAGTCCTTGAGGACTGCGCAGTATCCAAGCCCTGGAGACGTCAGCATCAGATCCCTGAGCAGCGCAGGCATGCGACCCAGTCCAAGCCAACTGAGTCAGCCGTAAAACACGCCTCTGCGCCCCCTGCTGGGCCGATTACTCGCTCCGAGCTCGCTGTGCTAGATCCCACTTCAGGTGTAATCGAACGGTACCGATAAGCCAAACCGTCTTTGTCGAGTCGCGCCACGTTCTGGGGCCTTCGTCGAAGTGCTGTGCTTGGCATACGTCACGTATCCGGGGCATATCATACCTGACATGATGATATTGACTGCAATGCTGTATCTTTAAAGTGCTGTGAAAAGTTGTTGCAATATTCGAGCAAAAGTTTGATCATTATTATATGGATTCCTGAACAAGGGAGCACTAAACAATTACGGGAAGCACACGCTGAGATTTTCCTTCAGGTCATTAAAAAAAATCGCTGAAGCAATGGCCTGACTCTGACCTGCCGTAGATCAGCGACCTTACAAGGTAGTCAAAATTTTGATGTCAGACGATCCGCTATTCAATTGCCTATACCTTTGCACAATTTGGCGCGGTTACGCCGCGCCCTTCGGAAACCATTTTGGAAGAACCTTCCAAGAGTCAATTTGACCCTCACTCAGCGCGTGTTAATTGTTGCATCGAATTAGATGGTATGGTCTGCTGACCGTGGTGTGTATAAAATAATGCACAAAAGTATCAATCATGCCTCAAATCATTGACACACCTGAGCGCTCTGCTGGATTCCAACCATTCGTTGCCAGGTTACGCCGTGGAATTAATAGCACTCGACCCTCGCAAAATCGCGTCTGTAAGCGTGAGACTAACAGATCCACAGCACCCTCGCCGACGCTGATGTCCCAGACACGGGGGACAGGCCGAGCCCGCGGCCGTCAGCGGGCCCCGATGCCGTCGCTCACCGGATGTTCTTGCCGAAGCAGCACGCCATGCCGGCCGAAATGGCCAGGAAGAGCACCACGGCGGCGGCGGCGCCGGCGAAGGCAGGCGTGTGGTCGACGAATAGCTGTCGCGCCGAGGCCAGGCACCCGTCGGCCACGTACGAGTTTTGCCCGGTCGGAGATTCCGTGCAGGGCAGGTAGGTGCCGTTGCTGCGGCGGCAGCAGCTCTCCGGCACGGTGGCGTTGATGGTGGCGTTGAGCGCCCAGTCTTTGCCGTCAACGACGCCGCAGCAGTGGAAGTCGCGCTGCAGGAAGTCCCAGGCCTGGGTGACCTCCGTGTCGCGGCCGTAACGCACCATTGAGCGCAGCATGCTGCTCTGGGCGGCGGCGGCGCCCGGCCCGGCCACGTACAGCGCCGAGCAGAAGCCGGCCACGCTGACCACCAGCAGCAGGACGCTGAAGCAGCCGAAAAGACCCACCAGGACCACGCTCTGGAACAGCGCGCCGCAGCAGCCGAGGAAGCTCACCACCAGCACCAGCGAGGCGGCGGCCGCCAGCAGCATGGCAGTGCCGCGCGAGACGGGCGCACCCAGCAGCGTCGCCACGTACGACTGCTCCTCGACCAGCGCATCCACGCTGACGCTCAGAAGCACGAGCGCCGCGCAGAACAGCACCAGGTTCTGCGCCAGCAGCCAGAAACGTGTCATTCGGCCGCAGTTGCAACCCATCGTCACCGGCTCGCTCCTCGCTGCCAAGCCTGGCTTCGCTCTGCTCCGGCTGGCAGCTGCTGTGCTGGCGGGCTGTGCGCGTCTCCCAACGCTCTCCGAACGGGTGCGGACGACGGCGGCGACGGCTGCTCGCGGGCGGGAAGGCGCCGACTTGGCGCGCCCGCCGCGCTGCGACGCCAACGGTCCGCCGCTGATAAGATTACCCGTGAACGAGCGGCGGCGCCTTGTCCGGCTTCCGATACCGGGTAAAGGTCACGGCGCCATAAGCCCGGTACCGGGGCGCCGCGTCCGATGCGGTGAGGCACCACAAACGTGCAGCAGGGAGACAAACGGGCAGCGGGTCGGGGACGAGGACGACGGGCTGAATCTTGGACAAGAGGTACGGCCACTTCGCAGCACGAAGATCTCGAGCTGCGGCTTCGCTGGCAAATTACGTACTTGGGGAGCTGAGGATATCTTCTGAAATCTAGCGCACAGACTGCTCCTTCACAAAAGGAGGAATACGCAGCTTTCGGCGATTATGTCATCACGTAAACGTGTCATGGAGCGGCGAGCTGTCCAGCCGGAGACTTGTTTCACAGGTCATCGTCTGAGCAGTACATCTTCTCGTCGAAAACTCGTGGAACCACCTCCGCAGGGCTTGAACTTGGGGTCAACTGCGTGTACCCTGGTATCTGCATAGAGCTGTTAACCACCGTATCCCAGTGGCGCCGTCTCCTGTCGTGCATAGCTGTTCTGATGGCTTGGTAAAAGTCACGCGCAGTGAATGGGAACAAGTTTGCGCACGGAGTCAGTGCTGAACGTTTTGCCGCCGCATCGACCAGCCCACGTCCCTCGAAACATACGTGACTAGAAATCCAGCACAGTAACAGTCTTTCCCGCCCTGCCAAGGGCTGTCGCACACATTACAACATCCTTCTGCCGGGGGGCATCGCAGGTAAAACGATTTCACCGACAAAAGGCGCGTTATGCGCACGCGTTCACGCTGCGGCGCTCCACTGGCTGCGCGCCGTGTGATCATGTCGTTCACGCTGCGGCGCTCCACTGGCTGCGCGCCGCGTGATAATGCCGTTCACGCTGCGGCGCTCCACTGGCTGCGCGCCGTGTGATCATGTTCACGCAGCGGCGCTCCACTGGCTGCGCGCCGCGTGATCATGTTCACGCAGCGGCGCTCCACTGGCTGCGCGCCGCGTGATCAGGTCACTCACGCTGCGGCGCCCCACTGGCTGCGCGCCGCGTGATCAGGTCACTCACGCTGCGGCGCCCCACTGGCTGCGCGCCGCGTGATCAGGTCGCTCACGCTGAAGCGCTCCACTGGCTGCGCGCCGCGTGATCAGGTCGCGTCCACATTCAACATCGAGCGTCTGTGATTCTTTAGACGGCATGTTTTCACACCTACATGTGATATCCTCGCATCAGAGTCGTTGGCTTGCAACACAAACTGTTTGCTTTTCTTGCGCCTATATGTTTTTCTCAGTCATGCACAAGCTCCGCTAGATAGCTAACACCTCGGTATGTACGTCCAATGATCGTACCTATCAGCCCCCCCCCCCCCATTTATCGTCACAAATCCTATTTCCTTGGATCTCCGGAATAAGAGCAGATGCGCATCAGAGCAGCACATTTGCTCGTGAGAAGGCGACTGCGGGGTGCCCGGTGCATGAGTGAAAAATGACTGCGGGTGAATGCCTTTCCCGGATATTTTGCGTGTCTACGGTCATGAACAAATTTTGCTCACTCAATGCCAATCTGTATCCAGTACAACAACCCGATGAATACCGTGTCAGTCTGCCTCTACTGACAATGATCGACAAATTACTGAGTACGACACCCACCTGTTTCCATCGACAACAGCTCGATGCACCGTCAATCCATATGGCAACATACTGGATATGGCGCTAATCTGTTTCTCCGATCGCCTGCTGGGTGTAGTGTCAATATGTCTCTGTCGAACACCTCAAGGCTACAGCTTCAATCTCTTTCCACGGACGCCCCACCGAATACAGCATCAATAGGTTTTCATTTGACAGCTCACTGGAGATGGCACGGCTAATGGCACATCAAGTTAAATAACGACGCGCTCCCAAAACAAATATTGCACTTCCAATGGCATTTGTCATGTCTGACGACAGTAGCACCCGCTGGATCAAATGACCGTCAAACAGCGAACACCGGCGGCTGATCACAGTCAGTAATCTGGAGACCCATTGAGCCCGAAACAAAAATAAAGCACACAAGAGACCGCCGTTCCCACCACGGACGGGGCCGCCCGACCGCGTCGCCAGCGGCGTCCGCATGGCAGGCACTCACTGCGGTTGATTCTGTCGATCCTGCCGTCGCCGGTGGTCTCGCGTGCCTGCCGCTGCCGGTACCAAATGTAGCCGATGCCAAGAATGGCATTCCAGCCCAGCAGGAAGTAGGCCACCGACAGCCGGCGCTCCCAGCGCACCGCCACCTGGAGGCGCAGGTGGCGCTGCGGTCGGATCGCGAAGCAGGCGGCGGGGACCGCGTGGAGGCGCTGGACCGACCGCCCGTGGCGACCCGCGATAGCCTCGGTAAATCCTTGGTAAATCCATGGGGTGTTTGACAGGGCCAAACAATGTGATGAAGCAATACCTAGCTATAGGAGAAGAAACTAATGATGAAGAAGATGAACTGCAGGACTGTATATTCATATCAACCTGTCTCACTGGATCTGTGACATTAAAAGGGGGGGGGGGGGCAAGGGAAAGAGGATTTACAGAGCTTGTAGTGGCTAAAAGATGAATTGCACCTCCTTGCAGCTGAATGAATGACTTAAAACATCTATGGCAGGCAGATTCAAATCAGCATATCCTTTTCTGGTTTTGATACCAGGATGCTACTATTTGCCCAGCCACACATAGTATATCATGTGACATGTAATTCCAACACAATGGCTTATAATTCCAAAATAGAGTGGACAAAATTGTCAGTGGCATTGCCAGAGTGGGATGTCCATAACATTACAGTATGGCCAGGCTTAGTGACAGCTGTGAATTCATTTGCCAAAACACAGGTGATGTGAAGCACAACTTTCAGCACAAAATTGTGCTTTGACATGAAACATAACAGATAATGTTATTTGGCTTACTTGTTCTGAAATTTGTGGAAAATGACGCCTGATAAATCTCCTTGTCCATGAAAAGCCACGTCTTGGAGGCATACTCCTGGAATACAATCATGATGAGCCAGTTTGTCGACCAAGGCTCACCTCAAGCAGACTTCTATGGGATCATATGCAAAAAGTTGAGCCTCATGTGATCTAAATTCAGTGGAGTCTTGACATTTTCTTGAAAAGATTCTGAATGCATGGAAGTGAATATCTATAATGCATGCTTCTTCTCTATCTACTGATAATAATATTCATCCAGTGTTTCACTTCTGAAGCTCACACCAGGTACCTCCTGATATGTTATAGACATTCCCTTTTCATATTCTACTTCCTCATTACAACAAGGTTGATATGTAGGAGCCTTCAGGCTTATCAACATTTTGGGGCTTTGCTGCCCTTGAACTATATTGTTTGGATCCTGCAGCAACCCTGATAGCAGCTTCTATAGCAACCTTTTATAGCCCTTGTCATAGTCAAACACCCTGTTCAGAGTGCTTCATAGACAAGCAACTAAGTAAGAACTTAAATAGCTATCATAGGTCATTCTTAGACCTTGCTTAGCTTTTGTCAAGTAAAAGTGTTGTTTATTTAGGTCACATCCTGACCACAAGTTGAACAGAAAATATGCTACAACTCAATATGTTGTAGCTAAATTAACCTGCCCACTACTGCCAAGACTGCAAAGATACACATGCCCTGCATAACAGCTCCATCAAATATATCAAGCATATCTTTTCAGGCAAACATTTCATTGTATGATGTAACTCCAAGAGGGCAAAAGTTTGATGCATGATCACCACTGAATTAAGCCCATAGAGAGCTGATGTTTCAGGGTATTATGATGCTGTGAAGGCAACTTCAGTCAACAAAACTCCAAAACCGACTGCCATACAAAAAACAATAAAAATTCATTACATTTTGACCTAACCTGAACTTTGGACACACCTAAGAATGAGGCTCAGCACACCATGACATGGAGGTGTCCAGTGCAGGGGATGCAATTTTAAGGGCGTGCCTACACTGGCATCTGCTTTCTAGGAAGGGTAGTTATCAGACAGTTCAAGGCGCATCAAACTACACTGGTTTGGTCGCGGGCAATCGTCACTTGAGCGATCTTTATTTATGTTCCAGACAGCAACGTATTACGTATATGCGTGGCAAAGTACCTAAATTTGCAAGCGATCCCCACCTGATCAGAACTTCAGTTCATCGCAATCCCAGCCGGCACCCAAGGACGCTGCAAGCATCGCGATGAATGGAACCAGCCAGGCGCGTGCATGGGTGCTGTACTTATGTCGCAGTTGAGCTAAATTCACAACGCATCGCAAATAAAATGAGGGTAGCAAATTAGGAACACCTTCCTAAGCCATGCCTCTCGACACCCAGTTTTTGGTTGGCCACAGGTCATACCACGCAACTACCGCAAATACAAACTCTAATAATACGCAAAATATGTATTGGTACACAAACAAAAATAGACGACCGCCCACCGCCCCACACTTAAAGGATTTCAACTGCAGACATCGACAAAAAGTACAACACAACCAATTAATACAACTATCGTGGCAGGTTGTAAAATGACGTCGCGCTACCCGGCGCCTGAAAAAGAGCACGGCAGGAGAATTACAGAAACTCGCACACTTGTCACCTCCCTGATGCCGTCTCCCTTAGAGATGCTTTAACCTCTGAGACCTCGTCTCAATCACGTAAGACGCAATGAGCCTGGCGTGGCCGGAGAACCAGTCAGCACAAAGCGCTTCAGAGAGTGCACCAGCATGACACCATAGGCACTGTGTGCATAGCATAATGGCATAGGTAAGCACTGACAATTGTTGCCTCAAGCTCGAGAAGTACACATCACACACCACTCAGCACTACACACCGAGCGCTTTTGCATACCAGGATCATACACTGCGTCACCATCCAGCCCACAGGATATCGACATGTGTAAACACCAAGCATAATGTTTCAGTAACTCCCGCTGGTCGGTCAGCCGAAGGCAGTGGAGCTGCGCGCCGTGCGACTGTAGTTGTTACCGGAGAGAAGCCCCCAACTGGACCTTTCAGAGAGAAGTCCGCAACGTGAACCATTGAAATACTTACGCCCGGAAGCAACCACACCGCACATGTCCTGCTCCCACTCCCAACCCACAACCCCAACCGCCCTCGACCTGATCAGTCACCGCGGCATAGATGTGATCGCCAGGGTGGATGACACGCACTCTCGATACACATCATATTATAGCGCACATGCAACGGGGCTGTTCACTTACAGCGATTCAGTGAATCACCGCATGTGCAAGGACTCAGAGCATCAATTCTACCCACTCACAAATTCGCGTTGCACCTTAACAAGGCCTCTTACCAACCGCAATCACTGGTCTGTTGGCTCCGCCTCCCGTCCAATCACAGGACGCATCCGCTGTGACGCACGACTAGGACAACGCACGACAGGCCCACTGGCTCTGATTCCCGTCCAATCACATGACGCACCGGCTGGGCCGCACGACTAGGACCGCGGAATCACTGGTCGTTGGTTCCGCCTTCTGTCCAGTCACATAACGCGCCAACTGGGCCGCACGACAAGGACTCCGCGTCAGCCAGCGCCGTCGTCCACAGCGCGACGGCTCCGTCTCGGCGCCGGTCCCGACACGCGCCCCGGTCGCCACGGCACCGGACCACTGCGTCCGACCAGTGTCGTCAGCTCGGCGGCCCGTCGACAGTCGGGCGGCCTCACTTGATGCGGGCCAGTGCGGCGGCGCGCCGCTCGCTGTTCTGGAAGAGGGCGCGCACCAGGTGGCGCGCCTCGTCGGCCGAGAAGTGCTGCGCCAGCGGGCCCTTGCCGTCCGACCAGCGGTCCAGGATGCCTGCCCGCCGATAGGATGCGGTGAGGACGCGGGCCCGGTTGACGGGGCGCGGTGGGGACGCGGACCCGGTTGACGGGGCGCGGTGGGGACGCGGACCCGGCTGAAGGGGCGCGGCATGGACGCGGGCCCGGTTGGCGGGACGCGGTGGGGACGCAGGCCCGGTTGACGGGACGTGGTGAGGACGCGGGCCCGGCTGGCGGGACGCGATGGGGACGCAGGCCCGATTGACGGGACGCGGTAGGGACGCGGGCCCGGCTGGCGGGACGCGATGGGGACGCAGGCCCGATTGACGGGACGCGGTGGGGACGCGGGCCCGGTTGACGGAAAGTGGTGGGGACGCGGGCCCGGCTAACGGGACGCGGTGGGGACGCGGGGCCGGTTGACGGGACGTGGTGGGGACGCAGGCCCGGTTGACGGGACGCGGTGGGGACGCGGGCCCGGCTGGGGGGACGCGGTGGGGACGCAGGCCCGGTTGACGGGACGCGGTGGGGACGCGGGCCCGGCTGGGGGGACGCGGTGGGGACGCAGGCCCGGTTGACGGGACGCGGTGGGGACGCGGGCCCGGCTGGGGGGACGCGGTGGGGACGCAGGCCCGGTTGACGGGACGCGGTGGGGACGCGGGCCCGGCTGGGGGGACGCGGTGGGGACGCAGGCCCGGTTGACGGGACGCGGTGGGGACGCGGGCCCGGTTGTCGGGACGGCCACACGAAGGGCCGGTCAGCTGGTGAGCTCAGCCGCTCTGCTAGGCTCATTTTTCGCCGTTGTGCATTAGCCATGGGCTGTGCAAAATAAGCACACTATGGCACCGTTTGTGGTAACGCTCCGCATGCTTGCAAGGTCCGCTGAGATCACATCAATAAAATAAGACCAGCCTGGATCAACCTTTAGCTCATGCAGATTGACAGTAAACTAAATATCGTACACAGTCCTTTCTTCTGGACCTATCCGATTATCTGACATTTTTCACAATCAAAACGTGCTCTGGACACGAACGTAGCGATACTGACCATCCCCAGCCTACGGCCAGGGTACCACTAACCGCGCAGGTTCTCCTCCAGCACCACCAGCAGCTCGAGGAAGCGGGCCCAGCCGGCCGTGTGGCGAGCCAGCAGTGCGCGCGCCTCCGCCTCCGTTTGCCGATCTCGAGGCTTGTCCTCCCCGTAGTCCTCCCCCGACTGGCGAGCGACCGGAACAGGTCCTCATTAATGTTACGTGCCTTTCGAACGCACCACAGAAACCTTCCTTGCAGCCTGTATTGTGCAATCGTCCAGCACTTTGGCCGTGGCGTTGATAAAAAGTGATTCATTCCAGACACGCTTATCTCAAAATCGGGCACAATTCCCTTGGTGGGAAGCCACCAGTGAACCCACGCAATTTCAGTCGCTGTGACAGGGCAATACAAACTCTGCTTCAAAGACGTCTTTCTATATGGATCCGAGTCACCGGCCATGAATGGAAGGTACAAGTGGTACGCGCGCGGTGCGAATACCCCACACCGCTCCTTCAGTGGCACATTGCCGGGGCCAGGGCCGCTAAGTGCGGCGATCGCCACGTCACACCGCTCAGCGGGCTCACTGACCGCGAACAAGCCGGGCGCCTGCTGCACCAGCAGGCGGGCGGCCTGGCAGAGCTGACCGGCGGCGCTGGCCGAGATGTCCTGCTGGGCCAGCACGCGCTCGGTCAGCTGGCGGCTGACCACGGCCAGCAGGAGGCCGGCGGCGCGCGCCATCAGGCCCGCCGGCAGCACGGGTCGCCACAGCCGGCAGACGTGGCGCAGCTGGTGCAGGCACTGGCGCAGCGCGGCGCCGGCCGGCCCGGCCACGTCCTCCTGCGTGTCCAGCTGGTCGAGCCCTGCGGCGGCGGATGGTCAGGAGGTCACGGGGCGCCACATGACTGACCGTGTGACCCCGCGCACGGAGATGGCGGCGGCCGGTCAGGTCACGGGCTGCCACATGACTGACCGTGTGACCCCGCACACGGAGTCGGCGGCGGCCGGTCAGGTCACGGGCTGCCGCATGACTGACCGTGTGACCCCGCACACGGAGATGGCGGCGGCCGGTCAGGTCACGGGCTGCCGCATGACTGACCGTGTGACCCCGCACACAGAGACGGCGGCACGGCCACGAACGCCAAGTGCCTTCTCAGTCACGGCCACAGTCATCTCAATAAAAACACTTTGGTGGCATATGTAGAAACCTGCAACATGCTCCACTGATTCGTTTGGTACCGTTCTTTTTACCCTAGTTCTCTTTTAACGCTGCAATTATTTTGAATGTTCTGGCCCTAATCAGGAATCAATTAAACGCAGGGACACCATGATGATACCTTCCTTATCATAGTCTTTTACTTCATAGGATTAGGGCTGAAGATAGAGCTGAGCAGTAAGGGGATTTGTGGGCATTCCAAAACGCCTTTTCGGAGCATCTTGCTCGATTTGGGAAAATCATAAAATCCTTTTGTTAGGCTTAATTGATACCACTAAGTTAGAACGAAATCACAGCTAGTTCAAACACCAAATGGTGTTGTCACTCTTTGTTAATGCCAAACCTCTTAAAGGTATCTATTACGTGTTGTTGCAGGTACCAAATTGCTGATATGCTACAGCATTGGCCTTCCTCCTGATCGGCCTACGAATATTACTCTTTGCTCTCATATCATCTACTTATTTACCCTTATATAAAGTGCCCTTTTGCCGCATAAACAATGTGCATAGGCAGTTAAAGCGCGATATTATTTTGGTGCCATATACATATATTCACAGCCCCAACATATGCTGCATGCAGCCGCACTCATGACAACCTTATGCATCGGGAGCCAACTGCACAATGCAAGATATCAATGCAACCAGGTGCGATAAATTACAGCAACTGAAAGTAAGTGCCCTGGGCGATAGACCACAATGATGATCACCGTATTTCTGAAGTCTCAATAGGACTCCTTACGCGAAGATGATAAGCCCGTAAAATGAAATCGGCATTTCAAGAGAGCGAGATCCACTAACCGGCCTCTGACAGTATCTCCAGCAGCTGGTTCTTCATGCGCGTCAGGGTGGCCAAGAAGATGTCCGACCCCACTTGCCGCAGCTCAGGCACTAGGTCCAGGAACGCGTCCCCAGCACCACTGCCGGGCATAGTGTCGTCACCGACCGCACTGCAGTCAACATAAAACATCGGCCACCAAACAGAGTCCGGCAAAGCACATCAACCGCCAAAACGTCTCCCAGTAAACAGGCGAGATGGGAGCCATCCAACCCCACGAATATACCGACAGAGCAGCCAGCTGTTGATAGCGCGGAGCGGGCACACGCGGACACGTCCAACAGCTCCTGGAAGGCCGGTGTCGCCACGCTGACACGGAATCGCGTCCCGGAGACCCAGGAGACCTCGGAGACCCGAAAACCCCAGAGAGCTCGGAGACCCCGGAGACCCCGATGGCCTCGGAGACCCGGAGACCTCAAAGACCTCTGAGATCCGAAGACCCTGGAGACTCCGATGATCTCGGAGACTCAGAGACCCGGAGACCTCGGAGACCTGGGGACCTCAGAAACCCCGATGACCTCGGAATCCCCAGAGCCCCTGGACACCTCGGAGATCCCGATGACCTCGGGATCTTCCGGAGACCCCGGAGAGCAGGCCGGCTGCTGACCTGTGTCGGGCGGCCAGGGCGGTGACGCGGTGCGCCAGGTACTGGCAGTTGTTGTGCGCGATGGCCGCTTGCTCGGGCAGCTCGTGCAGCGCGCGCCGGTGAGCGGTAGGCAGCAGGGCGCAGTAGAGCTCCAGCATGCACCGCGCCGCGTGGTGGAGCCGTGCCTTCAGCAGCTCCGGCCCGGCAGCCGCTTCGGCTACTGCTGCCGCCACCAGCTCGCCGAAAGCCACGGCCGACTCACTGGAGCACCACCAGCTCAGTCATGGGTGGGTGAGGCCGCGGTGTGCTCCGCCGCCCGCGAGGATCACGACACCACTGATCGGCTACAACACGGCACGGCACGGCACGGCACGGCAAGGCCCCGGAACTGTCCGGTGGAGAAACACTCGCTGAGCAGAGGCAGCGACAGAACATCGTAATAGTTCAATGACGCCCTGGACATGCCCAGGATTTGGGTCGTACCACGTGTTAAGTCTCGACGATGTAACATTCGGTCAACAATGGCTAGAGATGTCACCTTTGTAATGGCAAGAGCTGCCGGCAGCCGGCCAAGCTACAAGATGCACAAAACGTGCGCACCATCGACTCAGTTGTCACCTTCCTTTTTGTTTGTTCGGAGTTTTCTCTGTCAGTTGTGACAAGAATGCTTATGTTTATCCTTAGCGTGGACCCTCTGACAGAAAAGAATGCGGAAATGAAATAACCACCACCAGTCACGCACACACAGAAGGTGCAATACGGTCGGCACCACGTGCCGAACCCCATGGCCCCGTCCCCCAGCTTGCCGGACCCCACAGCCCACAGTCCCGTTTCCCCGCCTGACCGCCCAGGGCCAGAGTTGGCGGGGTCCAGGAGCGCCGGCTGGAGCCGCTCACCTGACGCGGCAGCGCGGCAGGCGGAACAGACTGCCGGCCAGCTCGCCGTCGGCGGCCGGCCCCGGCTCCGGCGCGTCGCCCAGCAGCACGGTGCGGTGCAGCTCGGCCGGGACCAGCCGGCGCGCCGCCGCCAGCCGGTCCGCACACAGCCGGTCCACCATCAGACGGTCTACCGAGGTCACGTGCGCCAGCAGGGCGTCGCCGCGCTCCCAGAACCCTGCGGCATCGCATGGCGGCCGCTGCCTGATTGGACGCGGCTGGCTGGCGACTGAAAGGCTGGTAGGATGCGGAGCACCGTGGCTTACGGGCCGGCGATGCTCGCCAGGTCACATCAAACGTGTGCAGAACTGCTAGTCGAAAATTGCTAGGCGCCGACCCACTACAACCGACAACGCCACATCAATTCAAAGTTGCCAGTTGAGGGGAAATGCCATTTACGTTGAACATCCCATTACTTTCGAACCCACGCACACACTTAACTTAAGATCCGCACCAAGAAGGGTGCAAAAACCTGTGACAACCTGATGTACCGCTTGAGGGCCCCCGCCTACTAGGCGAGGCGAGCAGACACCACGACCCCTCCAGCCGCCGGCGGCCTCTCACCGAGCCCGGCGAGCTTGGCGCTGAACTCCTCGACGTCAGCGATGACGCCGTCGAAGCGTGCCCGCTGCTGCAGGCTGGCAGGGATGGCGCGCGTCAGCGGCCCCGCCACCAGGCGCTCGGTCAGCGGCGGCGCGGCCAGCGCGCCAAACTCGGCCATCAGCGGGGCCGGCAGCGCCGCGTCCCGCAGTGTCGTCAGCAGCTCCACCAGGCCGGCCAGCACCGCCGCCACCGGCGGGTCGCCGGTCTCCTCCCACGTCTGTGTTTCGCCAGCGTCCGCCGCCGCCTCGGAGTCTTGCTGCGGCCCCGCGGTGTCCTCCTGCCGTCTCTCGTCGCGCTCCGCACCGTCCGCCGCCGCCGCCGCCGCCGGCTCCACGTGGAGCATGACAGCCTGGCCGCGGCGGTTGACAGTGAGGCGGCCGCCGGCCAGCAGCGGCGCCGCCAGCCGTGAGAGCACGTCTTCGGCCAGACGATGCAGGTGGCGCTGCAGCCGGTCCAGCCGGCGCAAACCGGACACGTTGTCCGCCAGGCCGGCGGCGCTCACCGTCAGCACACCGGCCGAGTCCCAGCACAGCGCCGCGCGCCAGCCGACGTCGAGCGCGTGCAGCAAGCTCTCCTCCTGCACTAGCGCACGCTGGCCCAGTTCCGTGACCAGAGCCAGCTGCTGGACGAAAGCGGAGTCAGACTGCAGTTGAGTGACGTGCCAAGCGTGAGCCGAAAAAAGACATGCTGCAGCAAATCTTCAAGCATCACACGACGCTAAAAGCAGCAGCTGAGAGTTGTTAAAAGAGCACATACAACTTCTGGTAAACCTAAAACGCACTTATTGAACACTTTACAGATTTATGCTCACCTGTCCGTTAGCGTCCTCGACGACGCGCTGCACCTCACCCCTGAGTCGCAAAATCAGCTCGGCAGCAGCCATCAGCTGGCCGCCGTCCTGCAGCCACTGCACCTCGGCCAGCTGCGCCTTGAGCCGGAGCAGCTGCTCCACCAGCTGCAGCAGCTGGCGCGTCTCGGCCAGCTCCTCGGTCATGTGCTGCAGCTGGTCGGTGGAGTCGGCCAGCGCCGGCCGAATCTGCCCGGCACATGCCGGGTCACGACATGGCGGCGTGTGAGGCTTGCCATCACATCACTTGCAGAGGGGAATCATGGCGTGGGAAGAGCGCAATTGTGCCGCCGGATGGGCATGTGACTTGGAGCCGTGCTTCACTCCTGACAGGCAAGAACTAAGCAATGACACAAACAATAGCCTGGTGAACTCCACATGTGGACATCGCAAGGCAGAGAATTACTTTTGCATCGGGTAGCCTAGGTCTGAGATGTCTTTGTGACAACCACTTCTCCCATTAGCTAGAACATTGCAGACAAATGTGTAAAAATTATTGTGGAGTCCTACAGAGAGCTATTTTGAATCAGTGAGGACAAAGGATGGTCAAGAGTGTGATGCAGCCACTGATGTCTAGGGACAGGTACACAACCTGATCCTGGAAGGCTTCTTGATCTATAAATAAAACATGATCATAAAACCTAATGAGATGAGGTGGTATTCTGTAAGATGCAAGTAGTTGAGAAGGTCACAACAATTTGTGCTATGCCTATTGAAAACATGAAGCTATCATAATAGCTTTTGGATTGAAGGGTTTTGCAAAACCTTTCAGGTTAGAATCTGAGTTATAGAGAATCTGAGAATCTTAGAAAAAGGTTAGAATCTGTAAAATAACTTCAATCATGAGTTCCAGACTTACACAGGTTCCTGCAGGAGAAAAAGTTCAAAGCGGCCCAGAGTAATCACAGCATAATTTGGAGGCATTCCATGAGCCTCAAAAGCTAACAGACATAAATTATTCCTAAACCTATGATATGGTGTGCAGGAAGCAATAGTCTCACAATTGTCCCTCTGCTATGACAAAACAACCTCTGTGTGCATGATATTGCTGCAATCCATCCTGTGATCAACTATAACTTACCTCTGATGAAATAGATGTATTCAGATCTTCCATTTGATCTGTGATATCCTGTATTTTTTCAAGCAGAAGCTGACCCTTCATCACTTCAGACTTTAAGTCAACCCCTTTTGTTTGCACCAATGTTCTGATGTCATCCAAACATTCTGGAATATCTTCTGTTGCAGACATGGTTGTGAGACTATTTGATCAGAAGTAGTTGAACCCAACTGAAAACAATAGCAGCAAGTTATTTAGCTGACCATTGTCACCCAGTACATCAAGAAATAGCCAAGATGTTTTTCACACCAGGTCTGAATCCTAATGCACTGATAAATGCATTGCTGGAAGCAAATACACCCATCCATACTTGCATTGCAGATATAACAACAGACTTTGTGAAGAAATAACAGCAACATATATGAGACATTATAAACAAAAGGTGTAGTTCTTGTCATGACTTTATGGTAATTTGACAGAAAATTTGCTGCCAAAGCCTCATAGCACAGATTCAAGCATGCTGTCTCATACTGGCCTGACTAGTTCCTCATTAAGACCTCGATTAAAGCTGGTCTAAGTCCAAAGTTTATGGATATGTTCTAATCAGTCCTCCAAAAATGATTAATTAGTTTAGAAGAGGTGTGACGAGTACTGAATCTGCATTGATCTGCCACCAGGAATGATTTTGGAGGAGGTATCAGTTGTATGCACATCATTCAACTGAATAGGGTTGGACCACTGACAGCAAACAACATTGGAGGTTGTGCTTCCAGTGAAACCATATTCAAAATTGAAAATATTATACCACTAACAAGGTTATGCATTCATACAAATGCAAAAAACTTGAAATATTATCTACCTGCACCAATTTACATACCAGTTCTTTACTTCTGTTATGTGACAACAAATGAGCCCAAACAAATCATATGAATGAGATGTGCCACTAATGCCTACCACAGCCTCTTCCAAACTCTTCCAAAACAACCTTCCATTTTAGAGGAGGATGGAAGAGGCCAGTGGAAAGCCTTGATGAGCTTGGAGGAGCCACTGAAATAATCAGATAAGTTTGGAGGAGCTTTGATAAGGCTAAAGGAGGTAAAAGAAATGACAGGAATAGGCCCCCTGGTAGGCATGTTCAAACATCCAAACTTTGAAATGTGAACTGGTCAAAACATCTAAAATTTCATCATCCAGCAGTGTTAAAAGCATTAAAAACTGTATAATGGCCCTGAATGTGATAGATTCAAAACATCCAAGCTCACAGCATGTAGGATTGCAACACCCAAAGTTGAGCTTTCATTGAGCTTTCATGATGCCTAAAAGTTTGAGAGTATAGTCAATCAGAGCTTATTAAGTGGACGTCATGACTACTACATTTACTTCATTATGACCACTTTATTTCCTTACAAAATGCATAATTACAATTGACGCTATTATCATTACAGCTATATCACACTATCAAAAATATTACATATGTTATGACCTAATAAAACATTGATGGCTATCTTAATTTGTAACAACCTCCATTTGTAGAAGAAATGAATGGCGACGGAAATCTTGTGGCCACACATCTGACGTCAATATTTCAATTCACTCACAAACAGATCCAGTGTTAGTTGTCGGATAACCAGACACCGTTTTCTTTTCAAGTTAACACTCAATAACAATCAAATTTAGCTATTAGCCAGGGTGGCATCTTATTATCTCTAGATCATCACCTAATTCCAATCAAGTACTATGCAATTACGAGTCCACAACCCACCTTACCTGTATGTAAGTATTTATGTCTTCCTCTAAATTTGCTACGAAAGTGGCGCGAGAAGGGCGCGCTGTGTACTCTCGGAGTTCCGTGCTTTGGGGTTGTGCGGCCTTGGGTTGTGCGCTGAGGCTGAAGGTGGGGGGCATGAGATGGAGTGCTGGATGTTTGGATAGGCCCATTGATTTAATCCTTATTGCCCATGAATAATCTTTTGTCAGGCTTGAACGAACACGGGATGGTGAAAACTTCTTTGTGTAGACTGTCGGTTTGAGCGGATTGCCTGGTTTGGTTGCTGTGCACTATATCCCCACAAATCCACAACCCACGTTACCTGCATGTATGGGCCTAGAGATGGAATTACCCGAAGTATATGTAAATTTTGGTTATATATGTAAGTGATGTGTAGCATTGAACAATGAGTAGTTAACTATCTGACTGCATTTGTTCACAGGAAATGTATTAGGTGTGCCCATACCACTTCCATTGTGCTGCTTGCATCATACTTGTGGTGAGTCTTACATGTTGATGTAAATGAGACACTGTCCCAGCAGCCATAGGGTATGCTTTAACAGTGGTTCCTGAACTTCTACATCTGTGGTGCTATGTGGTTTACCTCTAAACTTCTATGTACATGATATCAAATATCAGATATAATCACTGCAATATTTGGTGTCAGTGTGTTGTCATTGTAGGGCATGTTAGGTGCCTTCCATGCCCTGGTCAGGGTGTACTTCCCTACCTCATGTTGCAAAAGAGCATTGTACATCAATCATTGTTTTTAAGGTGGAACATATCATAATTAATCATAAAACAGGTCATCTATACTCTTACCTTGCAACTTAATTAATTACAATACCGAAGATCTGACCACCGCAAACACACAGCACCCGCGACACTGGCACCATTACTGCGCACGGTCACAGCAGTTGGGTTGGGTTGGGTTGGGTTGGGTTGGGTTGGGTTGGGTTGGGTTGGGTTGGGTTGGGTTGGGTTGGGTTGGGTTGGGTTAGGTTAGGTTAGGCTAGTTTAGGCTATGTTCTGAACTATTCTGGCCTGTGCATTTCATAAACTTACCTAAATGCGATAAGAGACGATTTTCACTGCATTATTATTGTTACCTTGGTCCCATACATGTTTTATGGTTCTTGATAAGCAGAAATATCGCAATTATGCAAGGACAATGCAGAAACGGTAGTGGGGAGTCGAGGAGGTGAGGTGCGTGTGGCGCTCGGGAGCTCCCTATCGTAGTTATTAAAATTTGAAGGTCGGAGCATGATTCTACCTGTTTTGAGATTATTTACGATATGTTCCACCTTAAACATGACGGATTGTGCAATACCCAAATTGTAGGAAAATGTCTTGTGCCTATAATATGATGTTTTAACCTTTGAATACAATGTTTATTAAGATCTTGGGAAGCTGTCTTGTGAGGCAGGGGATAATATGCAGTATTTGATGGGTTTTTGGGTCCTGCATAGCTAGACTAGTTAATTTATTTAATGCAGGATAGAAGTGAAGGTTCAGTAACTAGTCATTTTATAATATATTGTCTCAAGCTCCTTGCTATTATACAAAACATTTTTCTTGCTAACCACTGAATTGGATTACCTGTATATAAGTTAACTTATTCAAAGACAATTTCAAACAGTATATATGTGTCAGCAAAGAAGTGCATAGAAACCTGTCTCACAGAAAATAACACATGCCTGGTCATTATTATGAGGCTCAATCCTACCTTCTCCTTACGCTTAAAGCCTGATAGTATGGGAGCCTAAACACAAAATGTGTTCAAGGTTATGCAATATAACTTAATGCATGGTATCAGGCTTAACACTGTGTTAGTTTTCAGGCCTTGCTCCATGCAAGTGGTTAACTGGAGTTGTTTGTGCTTTAACAGAATGTGCAGATGATCTGAAGAGGTCTGGGTGTATTGGATAGCTGTGCATCAGCCTAGTGCAAAAATGAGTGCACTGCCAGAGGGTGAAAGCAGCTCAACCAAGGAGGTACTAAATTCTTCCTTGAATAGAGACCCAGACCAAGATAGCCTGGACAGTGACAGCCTTGGTGAGGACACTGGTGATGCTGATCATCAGGTTACAGGTATGTCCTGGGGGTCTTAAGATTTGCTAGAATTAAGCAGATGTCCTTTTGCCCAGGGGTTGTTCACTTTTATGTGAAGTTGTGGTTCTTCTCATGCTGAATCTGGTATGAATTGTGAAATGTTGAAGTGGCTGCTCAGCAGGGAAAGGCTCAATGAAGAAAAAATATGATAACTTGACTTTGTCATTTCCATAGCATGCGTGATGTAATTCAAACACCAGGCTAGCTGGCTGAGCACCAGATCAGTCTCTTAAGTCTTTTGTATAAACCACCACCATTATTTGTACTGAGCTCAGGGCCCCCTTGTTCCAGGCCCAATTTGCAGTCCTCCTGCAAAGTGCTTCATTAACGCCGCAGACCTGATGGACGACTGTGACTTGGAGCACCACCGAGCCAGACCCGACGTGCTGCCTCGCGCTGACAACCGCGCGCCGCGGGAAGACGGCGACCCAACCGCGCGCAGCCGGCGCCTCAGCTGCTCGCCGCCGCCGCCGACGGCCGACGTGGCGCGCCTGCAGCAGGAGGAGAAGCTTCAAGGGCAGCCTGCTGTTCAACGGCGCCGACTGCGGCCCGCCGGAGCCGCTGGCCTCTCCGCTGCGCCGCGCGCCGCCGCCGCCGCCGCCACCGCCGGCCGAGCTGGCGCCCGCAGAGCTGCCGGAGGCGGCCGGTGCCCGGCTGGCCGGCGACGCCACGCGGCCTGACCTGGTGTCGGGCGGAGAGCAGGGCGACGGCCCCCAGCCGCGGGAGGTCGAATCGCCGGGCCGCCGCCACCAGCCAACCTCGCTGGACGACGTGCCGATCGTGGCCGGCCACCACGAGCTGGTCACGCCCACCGAGCTGCCGCGGCGGCCTCCGGACCCGCAGCAGGTGTTCTTCGTCGACCTGAACGAGCTGCCGCCGCCGGCGCCGGAGCCGCAGCGCGCGCGTGCCTCCCCGCGCCGTGAGTCCGACTCGGTGTACCTGTACATCGACCTGAACGCCGGCGACGCGTCGGCGCGACCGGCCAATGCCGACCCGATGAGCCTGTCGTACCACGGCGCGACGTCGGCGTCCCAACGGCGCGGCCGCGCCGTCTCCGACGCCGAGGAGGTGGAGGGCGCGCTGGGACACGGCCTTTTCTACACGGTGGGGGAGACGGGCCGACCGCGTCGGCCGCCGCCCGAGCTGGTGGCGCGCGTGTCGTCGTTCGAGAAGCGACGGCGTAACCTCAGCCTGGACTGCCAAGAGCGCGGCCGGGAGCGGCCGCCGCGCCCGGCCGGCCGCGGCAGCCTGGGCGCCACGCCCGAGCCGGCGAGGCGTGCTGAGCCGCGCCGGCCCGAGGGCCGCGCTCGTCCCAGCGGCCGGCGGCGCGACCCAGCGGTGCCGGGGCGCCGCGAGCCACCGGCCTCCGCCGAGCCAGCCGTGCAGCGCGACAGTCTGGAGAGCGCAAACTCCGGCCGACGGGCGGCCGCTCCGCGCCACCGTTCCGCCCAACGGCCCGACGGCCAGCGCCGCTCAGCCGAGCGGCCGCCGCCGCCGCCGCCCGAGCCCAAGCGCTCATTCCTGCGCTCGCACTCGGGCCGCAACGCCGTGTCGCGGCCGCCGCGCACTGCGCCGCCGTCGGCCCGCGCACCCGCCGTACCCAGCAGCGGCAGCGGCGGCAGCGGCGGCACACTCACCCGACGGAAGGGCGCCGCTCGACCGGCGCCGGCGCCGGCGCCGCCACCGCCGCCACCGCCGCCGCCGCAGCCGCAGGAGCCGCCACTGGCCGCCGGCGCGCGCGACTCGCCGGCTTCCGACGACGGCGCGTCAGACGTCTCCTCGGCCAAGTCGTTCCGACGCCGTGAGTAGACGCCGTCCACTCTGCGGTCCGCCCCGCGGACGCCGTGGCTGAGGGCCTGGCGCGCTGCTGACCTCTGAAGGCGTGCTGTCGGATGGTCTGGCTCAGCTGGTGACGGCGAACGCGTCGGTGCCGTGTCAGTATCCTGTTATGTGTTTAACTCCAAAGTGGTTGGCATTGCACATGATTAAGCCTGCTTGGAATAGGAACTAGACGTTCTGGTCGTTCGACAGTTAACCTTCTTTTAACTGTTCATCGAACGCTTGTCATTGGTACCGCACATTCGCACAGGTTGGACCCCGAGCGTTGCCCACGCGGGGCCCGGCAGTGGGGTATCGCACTTTGTCGGCATCCGATACGCCGCCTCCTTCCGGCAGAGTCGCCGGAGACGCGCAACAAGCAGGGCATCGATGACCTTACGTCGGACCTGCTCCAGATGCTGTCAGACGGCCTGCACGCCGACGTCACCATCCAGGTGGGCCCAGGGCACCTTGGAGGCGAGAGAGGCACTGTCCTTGCACGACGCCGTTTGTGGGGGCACGCTGGCACGGGAGGGAATGCCTGCTCGCACTGACGCTAAGGTTTTTTAAAGATATAGTATTCAGCTGTGAAAGTATATAGAGAGAGAGAGAGAGAGAGAGAGAGAGAGAGAGAGAGAGAGAGAGAGAGAGAGAGAGAGAGAGGAGAGAGAGAGAGAGAGAGGAGGAGAGGGAGAGGGAGAGGGGGAGAGGGAGAGGGAGAGGGAGAGGGAGAGGGAGAGGGAGAGGGAGAGGGAGAGGGAGAGGAGAGGGAGAGGGAGAGGGAGAGGGAGAGGGGAGGAGGGAGAGGGAGGGAGAGGGAGAGGGAGAGGGTGAGAGAGTGAGAGAGTGACCTGTCCTCAGTATACATATATATATATATATATATATATATATATATATATATAGCAGGCATATATATATATATATATATATATATATATATATATATATTTATATTTATATAGTTATATATATAGTTATATTTGTGTGAGTGTATGCATGTATGTGTCGTGTTTAGAACGTCGTGTTTGGGCGATATCGACTGTTGCAGCTGCACATGTCAAAGCTCTTGCTGAACCTGTCCCCATTCACAATGGCCGTAGACCGTAAGCTAGCCGTGCACGTGATAGCGTCACGTGATACGGCGAAACTTCAGGTACTGGTGATCAGGGAAAGGCTGCAGTGAAAACTGACTCAGAAATTGACTGCATAGTATGGCGGTGCTTATGACCTATGCCGAATGATGGACGTGCCAGGAGGCGGCGTCAGCAGGGGGTTGACCGCGGGCGCCGGTCAGCACCAGCCGTCCCGTGTCCGTCAGGCGTCCGTCTGCGCCTGACCGCCCCCGTCGCCGCCAGGTGGACGGGCAGGAGGTGGCGGCGCACCGGTGCCTGCTGGCCGCCCGCTCCCAGTACTTTCGGCAGCTGCTGGCGCCGTCGCAGCACAACGTGGTGCACATCGACGGGTGAGTGAGGGCGTCACGGTCGGCGCCGTCGCCCCGTGCTGGGGTGCTGTACAGGTCGGCGCCCCGGGGCCGGCAGAGACACGGGGATGACGGGCCCGGGGTGATGGCGCCCGGCGTGGGATGGCTGGCTGGGCGTGCTAGCGGGGTGGAGATGTACGTGTCGCGAACATTATAGTCTGTGTCTTAGGCTGGGATGCGGAGCGGTTCTGTACCAGCAGGGTGATGCTGAGCACAGTTGTTGGAAAGCTTTGGTTCAGCAACGCACAGCTGGTAAAAGGAACCGTTACAACTGCTGCGTACAGATGCCATGCTGGTTCGAGGGGGTTATAATGTTTCCATAGCATAGAAGTGTAGCAACATCGAGGCAACATGGCGGCTCTTGATACGGGTATGACATGACTGTCCAATACCAAGGTGGATTCAAATAATTTTAAGCTGATCTGTTGGTGTGTCAATCATCATTTTCCACTGCATCCGCTCGCCAGGCATGGCTTGCACACAGCACGTGTTGCTCGCGGGTGTTATAGCGTTGCACGCCCGGCGTTGCTGGCTTGCCTCTGCGGCCTCGCCTGCATTCGTCATCGCCGCGCACCTCTCGCCGGCAGCCACAAGCTGGAGACGGTGGAGTTCATGCTGTTCCACCTGTACTCGGGCGCCATGTACGTGCCGGAGGACGTGGACCTGAGTGATCTGCTAACGCTGGCCGTCATGCTGGGCCACAAGCAGCTAATCAGGATGGCCGAGTTCGCCATGCGCGTGCGGCTCTGCCACATGTTCCACAAGGTGAGGCGGCGGTGCGCGGCACGAATGCGGATGTCCCTGCCACTTCCCCGTCTGAGAGGCGGACGACGAAGCCCCGTGGCCCTTGTCCTGGCTTGCCGCCGTCCTTCGAGAGATGCATTGGTACCATGTGAGGATGACTGACTTTCTAGTTGTGAAGGTTTAAATGCTTTATGTGTTTCTAGTTGTACGGGTTTTAGGGCTCTCTGCTTGTCGGAGATTTGTCACTTCTGAAACTCCTAGATTTGCTGTATGTAGATCTCTGACAAAGGTGACCTTCGGGTCCATTTCCTCTGCTGCACCACATACCTGCTAGGTTTCTGCTGAGTTACAGTTGTGTGAGTAGTAAACCATTCACTGCGTTTCAGCCCTGCCGTGATTGCCCCCCGCCGTGTTTCAGCCGTGCTGTGAGTGTCCCCGCCGTGAATCAGCTGTGCTGTGAGTGTCCCCGCCGTGTTTCAGCCGTGTCGTGAGTGCCCCCGCCGTGTTTCAGCCGTGCGGCGAGTGTATCCCGGGCGTGTTGGAGACGCTCTGTACGGCGGCCGATTGTGACCTGGACGACCTGGCGGCGCGCTGCCTGGCGTGGGTGACGCAGAACCGCGTGACCGTCTGGGCCGACCCCAGCTTCAGCGAAATCACAGACGAGTACCGCGCCTGGTGCTTCCAGGAGGCCGCCACCCTGGTGAGCATGGTGTTTCCGCGCCAGAGCGGTCCACCACGACCGGCGGCGGTGCAGGCACGGGGAGCTGGTGATTTCCCTCATGTGGGTTTTTTAAGGATGCTGCTGATCCGTCGCTATGCTGTTATTGTGGTGTGAGGTCCAGAAGTATGTTTCGCATTTGTGATATCTTGTGTCGTATGTAACGTCCAATGACACGCAAGGAATTTGCAATATCGGATAATTAAATTGCCTTATAGCGCACCGGGATAGAGGCCGCTGAATCTCCACATATCCATTCCATTCCGCCTCCTTGTCGTCACTTCTTATCTCCATCCACTGACGCCGCCCAGTGACGCCAACAGAGCTGGGAGACGGTACTGGACCGCTCTTGAGACCACCCTGTGACGCCGACAGAGCCAGGACGCTACTGGACCGCTCATGAGACCACCCTGTGACGCCGACAGAGTCAGGACACGGTACTGGACCGCTCGTGAGACCACCCTGTGACGCCGACAGAGCCACGACACGGTACTGGACCGCTCATGAGACCACCCTGTGACGCCGGCAGAGCCAGGACACGGTGCTGGACGTGCTGGCCGACTGCCGGCGCCTCTCGGTCCAGCTGCCCGCCGTTCGCTGGTCCCAGCAGGTGCGCGACATGGTGGAGACGCTGCTCAGCAACTCGGTCGTCTTCCTGAGCCGAAACCTGGGCGCCATCCTCGTCTCGGACAAGTGAGCACGGGTCAGAAAGATGGTGGGCTTCTTCCGGCGCGTTTGTGTTCCGGCTAAAACCATTTCTATCTTGGCACTTTTGTGCCCCCAAACCAGTACGTTTTGTTTCGACGCTGCCCCGTTCGCTCCGCTAGTCCATATCTTCCGTCGAATGATTTCTGTGGTCTTCATGATGGTGGCCTCTGTGGTGTCGCCGTGTCTTGATCTCCAGTGTGAGATGAATATACTTTGAATGTTTGCGAAGTATGCACTGGTACGCCCGCACCGTTGTGGAAGTGGTTGACTCATTCCGTTTCGCGCGGTGCGTTCATGCTTCTACCGGGTACAACTGAGAAGGTCCTGCATCCATCGTCGGTTTGAATACAGTCGGGTGATTCATTTCTCCTGAAATCCCTTCCAGAGATGTCACTCACGGGACATCTCTGGGTGCGTCCTGTCCCCACCGGTCCTAGACGCAGACCGACACGTTCGCTCTGCAGCGAGCACATCTGGCGCCGAGGCGGCGCGATGGCACCCCGCCACTGACGGCCGCGCGCCCGTGAGCTAGGTTCATGTCGCTGGCCGAGTCGGGCGGCTGCGCGGAGCTCGAGCAGTACCTGCTGGCGGCGGCCGACGTGCAGAACAGCGCCGACGCGCACACCAGCCTGGAGATGCTCTGCCAGCTGCAGTCCATCCCCAGCCACGGCTGGGACAAGGTGCGGCGCCGGTCGCCGGCGCGCGGGCAGTCCCGGCGCTGCCGGCTGCGGGACTCCGCCGGTGGCGCGCGCCGCTGCACGCCTGCTGGGCCTAGAGGAGCAGGCAACGGCTCCGTCCGAGATAGGGCACGCCAGGAATGTGTGCTGGTGTACGGGCCGCGTGCTCAGTGACGCGCGTGGTGCTGCTCCGCGGACGCTTCTTTTTGCCAGTGAGGCATAAGTCATGCCTCAACTAGAAGTGTTTTTCACCCAGGGCCATGCTTGTTTTGCTCGGCGTTGTCGGTCAGCTAAAAATGTGGCAATGTCTGGGGCGCTGAACGACATTGGTCATTGCTAATTTGCTTACTTGCATTCGTAGGGTGCCAGATTTGTTCTCTCATTGGGCAGCAACGCAGTGGTCCTCCCCGACGCTCATTCTGCCGTGTTTTGATTGTCTTTACGGATGATTGTCTCCTCGTATTTTCAATGAATGCATGTTTCATTTCTGTCTGTAAGATGGCAGATCATGGAAGGCTATGTTTGCAAGATTGTTTTCTCATCAAGCAGTCAATTCCGTTTGGTGCTGAATGTGTAACACTTTGTTTTTGTTTTGTTTTAGTTTGAGCTTTGCATTGCTTAGCATGTGTCGCTGCTGGCACGTGAAAGCAAAGGTAAGTTGCTGGCATGAGTTCAGTAGCGTTGATATTGGTGTCCTTTTTCATTTGAGTGAGGCTGTGGCGCTCGCCTAATTCCATGTTTTTAAGTTCATGCAAGTGCTATTGGTTTCTGCACTGGAAGTAACCGGACTTGAATATGGCGGAAGGTGGCGGTTAAACGACGATAGCAAGCCATCATGGGGATATATCATGAGAACAACTGGAAGTCTTGAGGGGCCCTCGTGGTGTTAGTACCATGAGTAGCTGATGGAAATGTCGGGCATTCCCGCAATATGTTTTAGTGGTTGCTTAAAATGGCAGTCTGACAATGCCTCCTGATATATCGCAGGCTGGTTATTGTCATAAGAGCTCATGATGACGAAAACCAGGAGTCACTGGCATTTCCTGCTGACATTTGCCCCACGGTCCTGTGGCTGGATTTTTGTAGTAGTTTTTGTTGCAGCAAGCGAGTTAGCTATCTTGACTACCAATGGCCAGTCGACTGCATTTTCTTGCAACCTCGTAATCGTTTTGGTGTGGGTAAGGGTGTCAGAAAGGATGTGGTGGTTAATGCTAGGTAAGTTCAAACTTGACTTTATTTATCGCACGAGTCTAACCCTGCATGCTTTGTTATGCTCTCTAGTTACGGTGGCCCGATGTCGGCACGTTTTCCCTGTATGAGCCGAACGCAAAGCTTTTCATTGCCAATATTGCTGAGCTTTGTCGTTCCGGTGCGTTTTATTGCAAATGTATTTTAGAACAAATCGGTGTGCAGTCGGTGCGTCTGAGGGTGGCCGGTGAGGTGAATGCTCGCGCTGGGCCAGGGACACGCGCGTTTGCACAACCCATGCCCCAGTAACGAAGCTGCCTTAACCGTTGCGTTGTGTGCCCTCTCCATGTGCAGAGCTTTCTGGGCATGCTGCAGCGCATTAAGCAAGTGTGCAACCGAAGGGCGTCCGGGGGCCAGAACTACGCCAGCCTGCACCTCCAGCGGAGGACGGTCCGGGCCCAGGTCAGTGCACCACAAAGAGGGGCCTCAGGTCAGGTCAGTACACCGCACCGAAGGGTCAAGTCAGTATACCGCACTGAAATGTCAGGGCGGTATACCGCATGGGAAGGTCAGGTTAGTATGCTGCGTAGGGAGCTCAGCTCTGTGCAGAGTACGGGATGCTCTGGTCTGTTTACTGCACAGGAAGGTCAGGCCATTGTTCTGAACGGGATGGTTGTGTGAGCGTACCCAGCAAAGTGGGCAGAAGTTCGCCGAACGGGACTGCTAGGTGATCGCGCTTCACGGGCAGTCCCAGGTCAGCGCACCTCTCGGAGAGGTCAGGGTGTAGCAGACGGAAGGTGCGGGGCCAGCTTGCCGGGCAGCGGTGCGAGGTCAGTGAACCGGTGCAGGGCAGTGCCCGTCTGGTGCATGATAACTGGGCCTGGCCGGCCGCCGAGGGTCGTCATCACGTGTCGGGAGGCGGGTCAGATCATGACGCAATGACCAGCGCCACGCCAGCCGCTCATTGGCTGGGGTGGAGGTCTGCGAGCCACCTCTGCAGGATATCTGGCTGGTGTTCTCATGTGGTGAGCATTGCCAAGTAGGAAAAGAAAGGTTGGTAACGAGATACTGAGCTGCGATCCTTTCTTGCTTACGCCATACCATCACGTGATCACTTAACCCAATTGACTGCTATGCAGTGGACCGCACTATTTATATGTTGTTTTAATCACCACCTCTTCTGTTTGTGATCGCTTGTTTGTGTTCTCTCACGTCTTCTCTCACTCATTCAACGTTTTGCATGATGTCCGTCTTTGACCATAACTCACTGCTGTCTTTTGTTGTAGTTGTGCATGCGGTCACCGCGTGGTAAATTCAGATCAGCTTGTGCACACTTCGGAATTTTGTTTGTAAAAATCTTGTATGTGCGCGTGACGTAGCTACACGAATGAAAATGTGCTATGGCGCTTTTTGTGATGTGCATTTAGTTGCTGCTTGTTTAACAGAGTGAGAGTCGCTCTCCAACCAGCCGTAACCGAACACTGTACGAGGCCAGCCCCGACCGGTCTTCCGAGAGCGGTGTGGATACCGGTAAGTTTACAGCCTTCTCCCGAGAGGCATACAGTTTCTACCCCCCTCCCCTTACCCTTCCTCATCTTTGTCGTAATTCGTTCGTGTCGATATAGCCTAGATGAGCCCTTGCCAGTGTCATCTGATTGTACAGTGCCTTCTCGATCTGTGCCCTGCCTAGGTGTCCCGTCTCGCCACTCCAGACTTCTGACCCCGCTCTTCCTCGGGCTGCAGGTACCAGCGCGCGCCAGCGGCCGCCCGGCGGCCGAGGTGACCAGTGAAGTCGCCGGGCGCGGCCGCTGCTCGCGGCCCGGCAGCGAGTCGGGCGCCGACGAGTCGCCGCGCTCGCGCGTCGGCTCGCGGCCCAGCTCGAACAGCTCGCCAGAGTCGCGCTCGCCCTACCTCCGCCGCAAGCACCTGCTCGGCCTGGACCGCGACGAGGGCTCGTCCGGCTCGTCGGGCTCGTCGGGCGGCCGGCGGACGAACGTGCGCGGAGGCGGCAGTCAGGCCATGACGCAGAGCGTCGTGGCCGAGCCGACGGCCGCCGAGCCGCCCGGCATGAACCGTTCGGAGAGCTTCACCATCTACAAACACGAGTGAGGCCGGCGGTGGCTCGCCGCAGAGAGCTGCCGAGGGCGGGCGCGGGGAAGACGGGCGGCTCCACCGCCGCAGCTGGCGGCCAACGCGAGGTGATCGAGGCCAGGAGCCCACGGTGCTCTGACGACTGGTGAACGCGCTGGTGATGATCCGCGGCCCGTCACTCTACCATTTGCCGGCCTGGAGCGGCACTGGCGAGGAGCGGTGTCGGCACCGGAGCGGCCGCGGACCGGCCGCCAACGCACCTGCAACAGTATTACGTGCTCTCGCTTTGTACCGCGTGTCTACGTGCATTGCACGCCCAGGTAATCATGGTTGTCATCTCAACGGGCGTTGATCGTCATGTGCATGTTGGGCACCCTCTGCTGCTGGAATGCTGGACTTGTTCCCCAGCACGCCTTCAAAAGCTGCTTCGAGCCTGAGCTTGTTGTCTGCAGCTGCTCGCAGCGGTGCCTTGCCGCCGTACATGCGTTTTGGCGGCCCAGTCCGTGCCATACATTAGGAGGAAGGCGTGGGACATGGGACGAAAGTGGCGAGAACAGTGGCACACTAGCGGGAAGGACAGCGTGCGGACGTCGCGTATTGCGGCAGCGTGAATTGTGAGGAGCAGTGGTATGCGTTGGCACCATGCTGTCAACGAATGAAGCCGTAAGATAAGCAATCATCTGCATTTGTGCGGTGGCTGGAGGTCGGTCGTGACCGTCTCTTGTGCCATAGGTTGGTGCGTGAGTTCGTGTGCAGTTCCTGGGCGTGCTTATGCTGTCCTGGGCGTGCGCCTCTCGCTGTGGGCCGTCTGCTGAGGTGTTCGCATTCCGCGTGCTGTTTCTTCGCCTTTGCGGGCGACGCGCCGATGAAGTGCGCTCTAAAGCGGTACTGGAGAAGGAGAGGTTGTGTCATGTGCATAGTATCCTGGTGGTTGGCGGCGTTGGGTGGTAGATTCCCAGCAGATAGTCACGTGCTTTGCGCAGCTGACGGCGGTAGTGACGAGAGACGCGGCAGCTAGCGAGTCGGCTGTTCGGGGGGGGGGGGAGGGGGGGGGGGGGCAGCACCGTGCCGGGCCTGCCCCCGTGAGTGCACCGTGGGCCGGCGGTCTCGGCGTCCAGAGCTCTTACCGCAGCCTCGCTGTCTCTCCGTGACGTGGACGTGATGTCACATCCGTTGCATCACGGACGGCGACAGCGTCGCGTTCGGCGCTTGCCGGGCATATTTTGACCGCTAGCTTTTGTCCAGTCTAGTCAACCCGCGTGACCATACGTCGCTGACGCGTCTGCGCTGCCCCTGTAGGCCTGTCTGTTTCTTTACGAATCTGCGTGGCCGCTGGAATACATAATTGAGTTTGAAAACCGCTGCGTTGTGTCAACGTTCCCGCGTAATGCACTGAAGGCAGCACAAGTCGACTGAGAGGGGCCGCGAGGACGTTGCATCTGCCCCACACGGGCGGCCGGTCCGCCTGATAGCCGGGGCTGTACCCCAGCTGCTTCATAGCGTTGTTACATCAGCGATGCAGCCATCGGTCGGCAAGTGACGAGGCCAGGTAACCTTTTCGGTAACTGATGTAGATCGCTCAGTATGACCAGGTAATATTCGACGAATCAGCCCTTCAGTCTGACGTGCTCCACGTGTTCTTTTCTAGCGCTGGAAGCCGGGCTAATCATGGTTTGTCGATCTTGCTGTTGTCTACCTCTATCCGACTTCCAACTGTGTCGCGAGCAGGAAATCGTCCAAGAGGTCAGACTTGTTCTCGATATTTTCGGGCAGAATTACTTTCCCGTATTCGCAGCCTAAAATGTAAGCCATTCGAACATACCTGGTGGCGGATAAAAGTGTCTGCCCTTCATTATGAGTTCAGAGTTATCGCGCGAATTATCGACCTTCAATATTCCACAAGGTAATGGTTAGCAACGTAATAGAGCAAACATTGGTGATATTGTCAATACTCGACGTTTCATCTGTGCTGATGATCACGGGTGTCGCATTCGTCGACCCCGCCTTGTCTAGAACGATTTCTGTAGCGTTGTTTAAGCAGTACCTCTTAGTGTATTGAAGGTCGGCAACTCAGCATCAGAACTCTGCACTCCTAATGCCAAAAACCAGTGTCTGAAAGCCTTCCTCACTTATATAACGCATCTGCTCTTCCCCAGCCCTGCTGGCCTCAAGCAGTGACACAGAAAGCTATCATCAGCGCACCAGTTCCGCAGGGCATTGTAATCTCCGACCATTTGCCCTGATTGGGATAGCCAAAGTCATTGGCGGAGCAGCAGCCGCTGCGCTGTCACAATACGCAGTCACCAGTTTTAGCCCCACGTAGCGCAAACGATGCGACGCAGCGGTCACCACATCGGAGGTTGTCAGTTCGCACTGCGGCGTCTATTCGCATCGCATCGCATCCTGCCGATGAAGGCAGTCAATGCTTCTGACGAGCGTTCTCCTCAGTCACAGCTCTACGCTCGTCCGATGACGATGCTTCTGACGAGGGTTCTCCTCAATCACAGCTCTACGCTCGTCCGATGACGATGCTTCTGACGAGGGTTCTCCTCAATCACAGCTCTACGCTCGTCCGATGACGATGCTTCTGACGAGGGTTCTCCTCAATCACAGCTCTACGCTCGTCCGATGACGATGCTTCTGACGAGGGTTCTCCTCAGTCACAGCTCTACGCTCGTCCGATGACGATGCTTCTGACGAGGGTTCTCCTCAATCACAGCTCTACGCTCGTCCGATGACGATGCTTCTGACGAGGGTTCTCCTCAATCACAGCTCTACGCTCGTCCGATGACAACCGAAACACGTCACTTGCTGTCTTTCGACCCTTCCATGACCTCCCCCTCTATCGCTGACCTTCCCGGCTGCCGCTGGCAGACCGGCCGCGGCCATTTGGTGTGCGTTGCATGCGGGGGCGTGGAGCACGTTAATCGCTCGCAGCCGGGGCTCGCAGTCGGACGTCCCTAGCGCTGCTGCAGGAAGACGGGCTGCCACTAGGTTTTGTTTTGCTCGATTATGGTCGCACAAGTGGTGAGCACCTGTAGCGGAGACCAATGGTGCTTCATGGCTACTGGAGTTGGCAGCACTTCCCGGGCCATTAAACGTCCGCCTGCCACCCATTTACCCGCCCGATTGCGAACAGCTGGCTGCCGCCAGATAAGTGCACCCGAATGATAAGCGGTGGAAGCAGCCTTCAAGGTCGGAGGAATCTAACGCTCGCTGAAGGAACACGCGCGTTTTGTTTCCGTATCTGGCACAGCAGTTCTGACGCAGTCTCCTCTACAAGTTCACATCTCAGAAGCCCGGTTCTTGCAGCAGATATCGAGTGCCGTCAGCTCCCCGGCGCCGCGCCCTGAGCGCGCCACTGCAGCTGCGCGCCGCCGACACCCCTTTAAAGGCGGCGCGGGCGGCGGCAGCGGCGTGTGCCGTCGGGGGGACGCTACCGTCACCGGAGCGCGCCAGGATGCCTCAGAGCAGCGATGAGCGCGCCGTGGAGCCGGCGGCCGAGCCGGAGCGGGACGCCCCCCTGCCGGCACACAAGGCGGACGTGCGCCGGCCCGACTCGCTGGCGTCGCTCAGCTCGCTCGGCTCGCTCGCCTCCTCGACTGACTCCGGCGGAGGGTCAGTGACGCCGCGGGGTCGAGCGGTCACCGGGCTCGGGTGCCGTGGGTAGAGCTCAGGGCGTACAAACTCCAGAAGTTCTGAAGTGCCACGCGAACTCTGCGGCGCTGCGGCCTAAAGCTACACGATGTTGCAACTTTTGCTGGAATGCCAATCTCCGCAGTTTTCACTTCGGCAAGATCCATAATTTGTTTTCTCCAGTATCAACCTGTTTTGGTCCTTTTGTGGTGCTGTTTCAACGCCCCAGCTGGCTGCCAATGTTATGATATATCCCACCGGCCCGCCGCCCCGCGAGCCCCATGCCTCACGTGCTCGTCGTTTCATGTGTAAACGGGAGCTGTTTGTGACCTACCCACCGTTAAGCCAGCCTTAGTCCGAGCTTTCAGCTGTCACTGGCCCGTTCATCGTCCCATGTGCCAGGAGCAGCTGTTCCTGGCCTGCTACATGTCACGGGTACAAACGGGAGCTGTTACTGACCCATTTATCACCGCAGTTTCAAGCGGGAGCTGTCCCTGACTCATTCATCGCTGTAGGTAGCAGAGGAAGCTGTTCCGGACCCGTTCGTCGCCACAAGTGGCAGCGGGGCTGTCCCTGACGCAGTCATCACCGCAGGTTCAAGAGGGAGCTGTCCCTGACCTATTCATTACCGCCGGTTCAATCGGGAGCTGTTACTGACCAATTTATCACCACAGATTCAAGCGGGAGCTGTTACTGACCCATTTATCACCGCAGGTTCAAGCGGGAGCTGTTACTGACCCATTCATCACCGCAGGTTCAAGCGGGAGCTGTTACTGACCCATTCATCACCGCCAGCTCAAGCGGAAGCCGTCCCTGACTTATTCGTTACCGCAGGTTCAAGTGGAAGCTGTGCCTGACCTATTCGTCACCGCAGGTACAAGCGGGAGCTGTCCCTGACCTCGCTGTCGTCGGTGCTGACGGATGATGACGTCACGACGCCAGTGTCGGGCGAGTCGGAGGACGAGGACAGCGGCCTGGAACTGGTGCTGCCATCTGCGCGCCGTCGCTCCGGCTCCGAGGAGCCGAAAGACGCGCTGCCGGAGCTGAGGGAGGAGCAGGAGGAAGCGGGTCGCGATGAGGAGGGGCCGGGGCAGCAGGCTGAGGGTCACGAGCGCGAGTTGGTGACGACCAGACCGTCGGTATGTGGACCAGAGGACCGGTGTTGCCGGCTGAATGGAAGGACAGCGGATTTGACTTTGGGAATGCGTGTTTGAAAAATATCTGACCATCAGAGTCACCATGGTGCAAAGCATAGCTGAGTTCTGTGGCACCATTAGCTTCGAATCACATCACCGTCTTGGCATAGGAGAAATTGCTCGAGATGTGGGGTGAAAATTGGTTTCACCGGCAGTGTATTGACGCACTTAAAGCTTTTCACTTTCTTACGGACGCATATTCGACGTGCAGTTTGCTCGCGTCTTGTGTTTCCGTGTCGGATAAAGGGCATCACACAATCGTTGTGTGCCTTAACTTACGTTACACAGAACTCATGCATTTTTAGCTGGTGGAGCGTCCCGCCAAAGATGAGCAGGAGAAACATCAGGAGCAGAAGAAGGAAATCCGACCCTACAACCAGGAAACGTTCGAAATGGCTCCACCGAGGGTGGAGTTTTTCGTCAACCTGGCCATGAACGTGCTGAAGGGCGTGGGACACTTTAAAGGTCAGACGAGACTTCAATCCAATATCTTCCCGTAGCAATTTCACCGATTGACGAATACGACTCTCACCCTTATTTTGATCAGGACCGACGGATGCAACCACAAACTTACGTAATATAACAACAAAATGGCGTATTGCATCTTGGGGCTACTGGTTAGCTTGGTGTGTCTTCCAGGCGGTCCTTCGCTTCATGCGCTTGAGTTGCCTAAATATCCAGACTAAATTACATTGCCATTATGTGATCTGGGTGGGGGCAAATAACCCGCTCACAAGGACCGTTTAGTGATGACTAGGAGGCGGGGGCCTCTGTGAATTAGCAGTTAGTTACCTGCTTACGCCACAGGGGATAGAACGAGATAAGATGATTGAAACCGTGCAGACAAATAGCAGCCACACTGATGCAGTTAAGCGATGGTACGGTGCGACCATCCCATGCCATGTGCCGCACCCCGCAGAGTACGTGTCGCCGCCCAGCGACCGGGAGCGGGGTCGTGAGGGCTACACGCCGCTGTACCGCACGGACGACTTCGGCGGCTTCCACGCGCGCAACATCTTCCGGCGCTGGCAGGACTGCTTCTGCAACCCCATCGACTCGGCGGCTACCAACATGGTAAGGACTCTAGCGGCCTGCGCCCAGTGGGTCGGCGTTGCAGGAGCTGCGGTGCTGGAGACGCTCTGGATCTGGTCGAGTCCTTGGCGGTCATCAGTTATGTCAGATACATTGGAACCAAGGCTTGCTGTGAGCTCGCCTTGATCTTTTTATGCTCTCTCTTTTTTGTTTTAGCTTGTGTTCGTTTAAGTTAATCAGCATGTGCTCGGTGGGACGACGCCAGGCCGCGCACCAGCCGACCGATCGCAAACATGGCGCCTGCGTCTATCGCATGTGAAGCGACCACTCGCCAGTATGCTTGCTCGCCAGCAGACTGTGTTCACAGTGTGCTAACTGGAGGGCCGACTCTGCCCGGCAGGTGTCTCTCATGGAGCGCAGCTTCGAGGACAAGCTGTCGTCCCGCTTCACGCTGACCGGCCGTTCCCAGCCCTACATCAACCTGGGGTCGTACAACTACCTCGGCTTCGGCGGGCTCGGGCCCTGCGCCGACCAGGCAGAAGTCGCCACCGGTCACTTCGGCATAGGCGGTGCCACCGTGCGCCAGGAGGTTGGCACACAGCGACTGCACGTGCAACTGGAGGCGCTGGTGGCGGAGTTTCTGGGGACCGAGGACGCCATCACCTTCGGCATGGGCTTTGCCACCAACTCGACCAACATCCCGAGCCTGGTTGGGCCGGACTGCCTGGTGATCAGCGACAAGATGAACCACGCGTCTATCATCCTCGGCATGCGACTGTCGGGCGCCAAGATACGGGTGTTCGCGCACAACGACATGGCCGACCTCGAGCGCCAGCTGATCGTGGCCATCACCGAGCAGCGCAACTGGCGCAAGATTCTGATCGTCGTGGAGGGCGTGTACAGTATGGAGGGCTCAGTTGTCCTCCTGCCGGACGTTATCCGGCTGAAGCGCAAGTACGGTGCCTACCTGTACCTGGACGAGGCGCACAGCATCGGCGCCGTGGGAGCCACCGGCCGCGGCGTGGTCGAGTACTACGGCTGCGACCCGGCTGACGTGGACATCATGATGGGCACCTTCACTAAGAGCTTCGGCGCGGCCGGCGGCTACATCGGCGGCAGCCGGCGCCTGGTGGAGCACCTGCGCGCGCACAGCCACTCGGCCGCCTACGCACTCACCATGCCGCCGTGCGTCACGCAGCAGGTCATCTCCTCCATGGAGATAATAATGGGGCGCGACGGCACAGACACGGGCCGCCGCAAGATCGACACGCTGGCGCGGAACTCGCACTTCTTCCGGCAGCGGCTCAAGCAGCTCGGCTTCATCGTGTACGGCAACGACGACTCGCCGGTGGTGCCGCTCATGTCGTTCTTCGTGAGCAAGACCGCGGCGCTCTACCGCCGACTGAAGGAGCACGGCGTGGCGGCGGCCGTCATCGCGTACCCGGCCACGCCGATGACGGCGGCGCGCGCGCGTTTCTGCCTGTCCGCCTCGCACACGCGCGAGCAGCTCGAGTACGTGCTCAGTGCCGTCGACAAGATCGGCGACGAGATCGAGATCAAGTACAGCCAGGAGCCGCCGCGCGTCGAGCAGGTGGTGTACTAGACGCCGTTGGCAACGGCGAGCCCACATGACCACTGGACCGAAGATGAAGACAAGCGTCACGCCGAGCCCTGTTCGGAGCAGGTGGACCGTGCTGCTACCTTCCGTTCTGTTGCTTCCCTGCTCACGCTAGTAAAGCGCAAGCAGCAATACATCTTGCAATGCCTTTGTACTTACTTTCATGGAAGGCAATTTATTTTACGTTGCACTTCCGCACTGTTGTGCCGACGACACACACACTCACACAAGGACGCACGCACGCACACATGCATACGCGCGCGCATAGACGCACGGACACACGCACACGCACGCAAACTCACGTACGCACACATGCAGCGCGAATCCACACTGATTTACCATTTGCGTGCTTTTGGGAAGGCTCGCAAAGCGTTTATGCCTAGCGCTCGCTTCATGACCGTCTCGCGGATCAATGCACGCCGCGGCGTCCATCACCGCATACCTGTGCTCGGAGCATCAAGAAACAGACAGGCAGACAAGACGGCTGATAGGCGAAATAGTTTTCGGCGCTCCCTCATATCAATGTTATTGCGAGGCCTCGGATGGCTAGGACAATGGAATGGACAGATCGGCAATGTCACTTTTAATTCGGAATGGCGTCGTCGTCGTTGGGGCTTTACGATGCACTCAGCTGATGAGGCTATTTGACGTCGCCTGCCTCTCAGCCTGACAGGAAGGGCGGGCGCCGCGGGGAATCGAACCCCGAGCCTCTGGTTTCTCAGACGCGCAGTGGTTAACACACGCCCGGGCGGCCGGCTGGGTACCTTTCGTTCGGGCGGGAGGGGGGGGGGGAGGGGTCAATTTGACCCCTGAGATCTCGGGAACTAGGAAAGCTAGAGACACCAAATTCACAGGGTGTGTTAACTTGCACGTGAAATCATTTAGGTCAGAGTTTGAGGTTTATAGGACTTGATCGTCTGGTCAAATACGGTACACAAGTCAAATTTGTCTACAGCCATGCAAAATTTGGCGCGACTGCCCCGCGCCGTTCGGAAACCATTTTGGAAAAAATCGTCGAGGAGGTCCACGTCAGCAGATCCATGTTAACAGCGTTGTGGTTAACGTGGATCTGTCAACCACAACACTATCAACACTCTTTACGGATAGGCTGCAGAAAACTACTTCACTGCATGCCTCTTCAACGCTCACTCGGTGCTCTGCACATAAATATCCGGGATCCTCCTGCTGCAATTGATCCTCCTGCGCCTGCTATTCTGGTCCTACTACTCGCTTATTAAAGAGGCTTCGAGAGCTCAAATAACCCGTCATCAAAAAAAAAAAAAAATAACCACCTGGCTGGCTAGTGTAAGTACGTTTTTTGCAAGTTTTGGTCCATTCCTTTCCACGGCGAAATTCATATAACTACACTTGCATTCGCTGTTCCTGCTGACTGGTTTGTTCTTGTTACCAATGACGCAACATCAGTGAAATACATGCACAGCAAATATTTACCAACCACTGTCATGCGGCGTGTTGCCTTGAACGCGCTACTGCTTGTTGCACATTCGCCGGTCTCTGCATTCACCGACGAGCAGCGGCGGTGGGGGAGCGGCAGGGTCGGTTGCGGCGGTTTGGGTGGCACCCGAGGCCATTGAACAGAACAGGGTGGCACTGAGGCTGTGTAACGGGTGACGCGGTGGATTGGGTTGATAATGCATGAATTATAGTATTGCAAGATTTTGTGACCGGTGTAACGACGAAAATAGGTAAGGAACATCTCTGCTAAACACAAGGAACAGGCAGTAGATGAAAGCATCGGCATAATTGAATTATATATCGACATCTGAGAAGTGATGCCGGCGTATCACTTTCAAAATCAGTCTTTGCACCATCGGTTAGTAAAGATATCATTTCTTTGGCTTTAAATATATTGAAATATTTGCAATGTACGGGAGCTTCCAAAAGCCCAGTTGGCCAAATGTACATGTGCTATACCTATCACTTAAGGAACATCAGTGAGCTGAATATCTCACTTACATGCGGCAAAGTCAGCTCAGGCCAAAAGTGTGTGAACTTTTTATATGCTTTTGCCCTTTATGGTATGTTTGTCTGGAATTGCCTTTGCATCAGCTTGACCCCTCATAAAAGTGGCTCTAGATGTTTGGGGTGACTGATCACCAATCAAATTCTGAGCACTCATATTTATGGTGTGGATGTGCAGGGATTGCTTCAGTGATTTGCTGCTGTGACAGACATGCTCAGGATAATGCGTAGTGCTTGCAGTCTGACAAGTGTTTCTCAACAGATTTGAAAAATGGGATTTTCTGTTGAGAAATGGGCCTTTTATGCTCAATATTTATCAGGTAGGTAGAAATTAGCCTGCATAGCTTGTATATTAAAAATTAGGCATAGTTAATGTATGTATATATATATATATCAATCTATCTATCTATCTATCTATCTATCTATCTATCTATCTATCTATCTATCTATCTATCTATCTATCTATATATATATATATATATATATATATATATATATATATATATATAATCATTTTAGCAATAGGCCTGCCCATTTGAAGATAACAAGAATATATTTTGTTGTTGGCTTTTTGATTGTGTAACATTTTAGGCTTTGGTTAAGTAAGATAGAGGATCCAGTGCTTTGGGGCCTGAACCCATGTGGGTGGAGAGGGGGAGGCCAGACCTGCACAAGGAACAACAAATTTACACCTGTGTAGGCCCCTGATAGATGCTTTGCTACACTTCCACCAGGACTTGTCACCAGGTCTCAAGCACAGGATGAACATTTCAACTAGTATGTTGCTATCAGCTATTCATGTGACTGCTGGAAGATTTTTCATTAGTTTTTTTGCAGACCATGTGGTCATAAACTGGTGTTGTAATGTAATGTGTAGTGTGTGATGTATGTAATGTAAGGTATGTATGTAACATATGTAATTCAGTATGTAATATTTTTCAATGAGGAATGTGATTTGAGTCCCAGATATCTCTAAACTTGCATTTAAATCTCTCAAGGTCACCCATAAACATACATAGTATAATAAATGGAATGTTTGCCATGATATGCCTATAGTTATACTGAAAAAGATCTGCATCATTGTTAGTAAAATATTCTTGAGATCCAGACTCCATGCTTTGGGCTTAACAGTCATGCCCACATGGCTTACCTTGTTGCATTGTACTGCCTTCTCATTGTGTGCTGGAAGCCAAGCATGACAATTAAAGAAATGAATTGGGGTTGTGGAGAACCCAATATTTTTGATAATATTGAAGATAGAAGGAAATACATTTATTCATTTATCTCTGATTAAGTTATGGTTCAAACCTGTTTTGATTTTCTAATGATGATGTATGTATCTGATGATAATTATGCATTTTACCTATAATTAACATTTTTCTCAATATATATGTGATATTCACATTAACCAAATTTGATTGTGAATTATGGACAATGATAGCATGCTGCATGCAGTTTGCACTGACTGTACATACTAGTTATATAAGCTCTTTGTGCTGCAAAATGATGAAATCTTTATGCTTAACACAAAAATGATTTGTCCATTAGATAAGTCATAATTTAGTGATCTGAAGAAAACCAGGTGTGACACAGTTCACTCATATAATAAATTATATGTGAGCATCATAAACAGGACCAGACAAAGCTTAGCACATTGAAAAAGTGGAGGTTAGGCCTGCTATCCTGAAGGGGTGTGCTTGATTTCTATGATGAAACATAGTGTGTCACACTGCACATTGATATGCTTGAAATCTTATGAACTACATGTTAAGCAGCTGTTACATAATGAGAATGCTCCAATATTTATTTCATAGCAGCACTATTAGGTGAAAAATTTTCAAGCAGCAAAGGTATCATGAGTGAAGAATTAAAGTCCAAAGACATTAAGCATAATTTATTCATCATGTAACATCAAACTAGACAGGTACATGAACAAGCTAAATATTGTTTAATCTGGTATACAATCACATTGCATTTGGCTTCACTGGTCTTGAAAATCTGTAGAGTGCCTCTGCATTTATGGGTATCTAGAAATTGTGTGGGAAAAGTGGAATGTGACATACCTGAATACCTCTGACTGAATGGGGACATAGGTGATGATCACTTGTAAAAAGTGACTGGTTTTGTTTGTTTTTTTTGCACTGGAGCTCTTTTGACCAGATATGGTCATATCAGGGCTATGGGATGAAGGAAGATGGTTAATGGTGGGGAAGACTTGCATGTGCCTAGGGGGCTTACCGCCTAGCCTCAACCCGCGCATGCACGCTGGGTACCCAGTTGGGGTCCCCCGTCCCACGGGGCTATCGGCCCACTCGTGGCTGGCGCACGCAGCATACTCCGGACAAGTGGGGTATCGCTAGGATGCAGGACAAAACAAGACAGAGCATAAGAGCGATGGATCGCAGTGACTTTGTCATGTCAGTGACTATTGTATGCTCACACCGATGCCTGCTCCCTCGAAATCCCGGCCGTCCTCTCACATAAGTGATGCGACTGTGTCCAATTGAGCGGGACCTAAGTCTGGAGCGGCGGCGTCGCGTGAGGCTGCGGACCCGGGCAGTCATCGGACCAGGAGCACCGCCGCCGCCCCCGAGGATCACGAGGAGGAGCGACTCTGCTAGCCGGCCGCGGCGTCCGCTGACGCGCCGCCCGTCTGTTTGTAGGTGACGCCCATCGCGTCGCCATGGCAACCGGCAACCCCCGCAACAAGGTGGCGCTGGCGCCGGGCCGCTCGCTCATGGACTGGATCCGGCTGACGAACAGCGGCGCTGACCTGACGGGCGTAGCCGGCCGGCGGCGCGACGTGACGCGCGAGGAGCTGGCGCGCCACACACGACCCGGTGACCTCTGGATGGCGTTGCGCGGCCAGGTGTACAATGTGAGCCGCTATGTCGAGTACCACCCGGGCGGCGCTGACGAGCTGATGCGCGGCGTGGGAGCCGACGCCACCGACCTCTTCGACTCGGTGCACCGCTGGGTTAACTATGAGGGCATGCTCAAGAAGTGTCTCGTCGGCAAGTACGTGGGCGAACAGCACTCGGCGCGCGCGCTCATCAAGCGCGCGTTGGGCGGCGTTGGCGGCGGACTGCTGGCCCCTCCGGCGACGGCGAGCGTGCCGCCGTCCGCGCCGCGGCCGATGTCCGTGCCGCGGCCGCTGCCGGCGGCGGCACCGGCACTGGCCCGGCCCGACTTTGACTGGTTCCAGACACCGGAAGCGGTGCACCTGATCGCCTACTGCCGGCAGCCGGGCATGACTGAGGACGACGTGAGCGTGCGCCTGACCGGCGGCCGCCGTCTGCTCTGCCGCGTCTTCCTGCGCGCCGCCGTCTTCACGCTGCACTGGCAGCTGCCGGCCGACGTGGAGCCATGCGGCGACGTCAGCGTCTCGGCCGGCGGCAAGGTGGAGTTGGTGCTCCACAAATGCCGGGCGGAGCAGTGGGCCAGCACGGGCGCCGTGCTGGCCGGCCACCGGACCAGCGTGCCGCTGGCCGAGTTCAGCCCCGAGTACGCCGAGTTCGTGCTGGTCGAGCGGCGCCCGGTGACGCACGACACGCGCCTGCTGCTGCTGCGCGCGCCGGCCGGCTGCTGCGCGCGCGTACCGCTCGGCTTCCACGTTCTGCTGCGCCGCGCCGTGTGCGGCGTGCAGCTGGTGCGGCCGTACACGCCGGTGTCGGAGCGGCTGGAGCCGGCGCCGGAGCCGCCCGCGCCGGCCGGCGAGCTCTGTCTCATGGTCAAAGTGTACCCGGATGGCGTGCTGACGCCGCAGCTGGACGCGCTGCGGCTCGGCCAGACGCTGGAGGTGAGCGAGCCGCTAGGCGCATTCCGCCGGCCGCCGGAGGAGCTGCGCCAGCTGGTGATGCTGGCCGCCGGCACCGGTCTGACGCCGATGGTGCGACTGACGCAGCGCACGTTGGCCGCCGCGCCGTCCGCCGCCGTCCGGCTCTTGTTCTTTAACCGGCGGGAGCGCGATGTGCTGTGGCGCGAGCAGCTGGAGCGACTGGCGCAGCGGGAGCCGCGCTTCCAGCTGCAGCTGGTGCTGTCGGAGCCGGACGAGGGGTGGCAGGGGCGCAGCGGGCGCGTCTCGGCCGGCATCGTGCAGGAGGCGCTGCCGGGGAGCGACGCGCGCTCCGGCCTGCTGGTGACCGTGTGCGGCCCCTCCGCCTTCTCGGCAGAGTGTGCTCGTCTGCTGGCGGAGCAGGGCGTGGCCGCAGGGCAGGTGCACGTGTTCGACGGGTAGCCGGCGGTGGGGAACGCTCGTGTTCCGTGCACTTGTCGGCGTTTCCTGTCGTGGGTGGCGACTCCCACCCCTCCGTTAGCTGCTTTTCCTTGAGGGTGAAACTGCTGCCTAGTTGATTCAGGATTTGGAATGGCATTATGTCTGTTCTGACAAGTTGATACTTAAAGGGATATGGGTGTATCGCTTATTAGTTTTTTTGTGATTTATTGTAAACGAAGGCCAGCAAGCGTCCCGTGCCTTGGTCGTTAACCTCTGGGATTTAATGATCTATTAATATCAGGGATTTTATTTTGATCAGCAACAGAGATGATGCAGTAACTGCGACGTTCCGGCATGACCGACCCCTAAGTTTGCCTCCCGATAACACCCACTGCCCTGGCACCACTGCTCGTTGTGGGCACGCGCCGTTAGCTCGCTGTGTTCCTATCATGCTGCGGCTAGCATGTCCACTTTTGGCCGGTGCGTGCAATGTTCAAACGCACCGTACGAGTGGAGGAGCTCACCGCCTCCTCTGAGTGCCGCCGTGGTCAGTGACACGGTTGGGATCCTGCCCAGCACCGCCGTCCTCACCCACCGCTGCACTGGCACGTGACGTCCGGCGGCCGCCCGGGCTCGTCGCCGTCGCGACTTCTCCGAAGTGGGCCGGACCGCGTTCTGGGACGCGTCAGGTTCGACAATGATCCCCTGCGGCGTGGTGTGACATCAGCCGTCAGAGGGCCCGGGTCAGGCTCGACACTGACCCGCTGCGGCGTGGTGTGACATCAGCCGTCAGAGGGTCCGGGTCAGGTTCGACGCTGATCCCCTGCGGCGTGGTGTGACATCAGCCGTCAGAGGGCCCGGGTCAGGTTCGACGCTGATCCCCTGCGGCGTGGTGTGACATCAGCCGTCAGAGGGCCCGGGTCAGGCTCGACACTGACCCCCTGCGGCGTGGTGTGACATCAGCCGTCAGAGGGCCCGGGTCAGGCTCGACACTGATCCCCTGCGGCGTGGTGTGACATCAGCCGTCAGAGGGCCCGGGTCAGGCTCGACACTGACCCGCTGCGGCGTGGTGTGACATCAGCCGCCAGAGGGTCCGGGTCAGGTTCGACGCTGATCCCCTGCGGCGTGGTGTGACATCAGCCGTCAGAGGGCCCGGGTCAGGTTCGACGCTGATCCCCTGCGGCGTGGTGTGACATCAGCCGCCAGAGGGTCCGGCCGCGGAGTCGGCGCTGGCCGCGGCTCCGTGTTGTGCCGCTGGCGCGTGTTCATCTGCGGTGCCGTGCCCCGGGCCACCTTGTATGCCGACTGAACGGGCTCAGGCCAAACGAACTCGTCGCCCAGCGGGGGGGGGGGGGGATATGTTGGGCTGGCACTGACGAAATGCACGTGAGCGCCCTGATAGGCTGGACGGCGTTGGCAAAGCCTTGTGAATAACCACAAAGTATTATATTCCCCATGAGATTTATGACTTCGTGACTGTATTTTTGAGAGGACTGAAATGTTAGCTGTGTGGCGTGTTGAGTGTTACGTGGTATGCCATCGACGATTGTTAAGAGCTGTCGCTGTTGGTTAGTGTGCCATGGAACAATACATGTGTTGTGGACACCGTGAACATGCGTTTGATTCTGCTCAACTGTTGAGTATTACCGAAGGCTGGACGGGTGCATGTAATGTGCGCTTCGGGACAAGTGGACGTGCGTGCTCGCACTGGGATTTATTTGAGCCTATTCCTATGGGGAGCACATTTTTGCTCAATCGCCGCACATTGCATATCGAGCCAGGGATTGAGGCGCTCTGGGCCCTTCGGCGGCGCGCTGTCGTTTGCCCCCTCCTCCTTCACCGGTCGGCCGACTGGCGGTGCGCTGCTGTGTGCCCGCTCCTCCACCGGTCGGCCGACTGGCGGTGCGCTGCTGTGTGCCCGCTCCTCCACCGGTCGGCCGACTGGCGGTGCGCTGCTGTGTGCCCGCTCCTCCACCGGTTGGCCGACCGGCGCCGCGCTGACGCTGCCGCCGCTAAGACGCCGCTCTGCCGCAGGCAAGGCGATGCTGGCCGGCGGCTGTCTGCGCCTGCTGTGGCCGGCGGCGGCCGCGCGGCGCCCGACGGCGGCGGCCTGCGGCCCGGCGCGGCGGCTGGCCGGCCTCCTCGACTGCCGGCGGCTGACGGCGCCGCCGGCCGGACCTGTGCCCGAGCCGTCGCGGCTCCTCGGACTGACGCCGCTGCGCTGGGGCCGGCGCGACTGCAGCGGCCCGGAGCGACGCCGCTGGCTCGTGCGCGACGTGCGACTGACGGTGGCGGTACGTCCGGCTCTGGTACTCCGACAGGCGGGGCTGGCTGTCGCTGGAGAAAATCGGTTTTGGTGTACTAGCTCCCCTGCCGTGTCCAGAAAGGGAATGTTGTGTCGTTTGGGCTCCTATGATGTACGTTGGTGTGCCACCGTTATTTCTCCCTTCGCCGTCATTCTCACTTTTATCATGTTTTGTTCCTTCATATTGCAAGCCATGCAAGCCACCGCGCCGGCGGAGTTTATACTCTGTCGTTTCACTTCTGCTTCAGTAAATGAAACCGCTTTATGTTGTTCACGCATCAGCTGCTGCGTGCCCTGGATAGCCGTCACCAATTCTCAAACGCTTGGGTCTCAGGGGCCACCTGTAAGGCTCCGTGAGCATGGCACGTGGCGCCGACGAAGGTGGCGCGAGCGCCATTGATGCCAACTGAGAACACGGCGTCGGGCCCGACGCCGCACGGCACTGACACTCGGATGACGCGTGTCGGGCTTCCGCCTGGGGTCTGCTCATCGATCACGGCTCCGTTGCGTGATGCGCTGCCCGGCGGCGCCTGCCCGAGGCAGCGCGGGGTGCCTGTGTGAGAGAGGGCGCCGGGCCGGTGCGAGAGAGGGTGCGGAGCCGGTGCGGGAGAGGGCGCGGAGCCGTTGCGTGAGAGGGCACGGGGCCGGTGCGGGATAGGGCGCTGGGTTGGTGCGGGGCCGGTGCGGGAGAGGGCACGGGGCCGGTGCGAGAGAGGGCGCGGGGTTGGTGCGGAGCCGTTGCAGGAGAGGGCACGGGGCCGGTGCAGGAGAAGGCGCGGAACCGTTGCGGGAGAGGGCACGGGGCCGGTGCGGGAGAGGGTGCGGGGTTGGTGCGAGAGAGGGCGCGGGGTTGGTGCGGAGCCGTTGCGGGAGAGGGCACGGGGCCGGTGCGGGAGAGGGCACGGGGCCGGTGCGAGAGAGGGCGCGGGGTTGGTGCGGAACCGTTGCAGGAGAGGGCACGGGGCCGGTGCAGGAGAAGGCGCGGAACCGTTGCGGGAGAGGGCACGGGGCCGGTGCGGGAGAGGGCGCGGGCGTGGTGCGGGACCGGTGCGGGAGAGGGCGCGGGGCTGGTGTGGGAGAGGGCGCGGGGCCGGTGTGGGGGAGGGCGCGGAGCCGTTGCGGGAGAGGGCACGGGGCCGGTGCGGGAGAGGGCGCGGAGCCGTTGCGGGAGAGGGCACGGGACCGGTGCTGGGGCAGCACGTTTGGCGGCAGCCCGGTGGCTGTTTCTTGTCTCGTAGGACAAATCACTGCCCGTCTCGGTGTTTAGGTGCGGTCTGTTGTAGTTTGATGACTGAGCATAAGAGCGATGTATTAATAAACTTTTACGTCGCTTGTGCAAGCCATCCACGAAATCAGTTACCAGAAAGGTCCCTATTTCGTAAACAGCTTGGGAGAATCATCTTACACATGCACAATGCACCAATGGAGGTCGATTTGGAAGATCCAAACTATTACGACGGTGAAAAGCAAAAACATTTCAGAGTACTTCGGATAAGTCAAACCTGTCCCCAACGTTCGCGGCCTTGTTATCTCGAGCAGAATAACCGGCATGTGTGCCAGGTCGCGACCGGCCTCGCTCCGCTCTCGACCGCGCCGTCAATGGCGGTCGCCCGTGAGGCTAGCTCGCCTCGGCGACGGTGGCCGTGCGCGGGCTATTGAGCGGGCTGTGATGGCGTGTCTCGCCCGATGGTCGTGTCTCAGGCAGTTCCGGCGCACTGGTCGGGACGTCCGCTGTGCTGGGATCGGGCTCACGCACACGGAACTCGGTCACCTGCTGTTGCCCGGCTGCTGTGCGTGGAATCCGGGTCATGCAGCCAGCATGACAGAGACAGAAACAGGGCTAGGAAGGCTCTCAGCTCAGAATGTGCTCGGCTGTCTGGCTGGTGCCCGAGCTGTTTCAGCCCCTCGCCGTCCCTCAGGCTACCAGCCGAGCTGGCCAGACCTCGGCTCCCGCGGTGAGAGCCGAGGCGGCCACACCTCCCACGTCGGGAGCCGAGATCCGCCCGCGCTGCGCGGCTCGAAGGGCGAGTGGGTCGGCCAATATCGAACGGCCGTGTCAGCTGCACCCGGGACCGCCCCCGGCGCCCAATAAGGCCGTCCGCCTAATAGCGCGGTTGATTGGCGGTCCAGGACGTTCCTGCCTGCTCAGCTGCGCGCACCGACTCAGCCGGCTCCGTCCTTCGGCCGTGGACTGGCGAGTTTTTGTGACGGTGAACCACTACTTGCGGCGGGAGTAACGCCAACCGATGTTGCCCGCGGGCCGCTAGCTTGACCATCGGAGCCGCCGGTACTTCGTGAAAACGTGCATCGCGTTCCTCAACGATAAAAGGCGTCGCGTGCGATCGTGTCCGTTGCTAACAGAGGGCCAACCACCCGTGACCGGGTGGCTGTGTTGTTACCAAGCTTCCGCCGGCGGCGGTTTCCGATCGAGCGGGCGTTGTAAGCGTCTGTTGCGCCCCCGCACTGCCCGCGGTGCCGCGAGCGGCCGCTCGCGACTGGCGCTCGCGGCTGACCGGCGCCGACCGGGCGTGTTGCAGCACGAGAACATCTACACCGTGCCAAACGTGCTGTGCGTGACGCGCATGGCCCTGACGCCGGTCATCGGCTGGCTGGTGACATGCCAGCTGTACCCGGCCGCGCTGGTCTGCTTCGCCGCGGCCGGCGCCACCGACCTGCTGGACGGTTGGATCGCCCGGCGCTTCCCCAGCCAGGTGAGCCAGCGGCGGGGGGGGGGGGGCGTGCCGGTCATGCCAGGTCAGGGTGGATCAGATGAGGTCGGCTGTGATGGGGCGAGGAGAGCATGCTGGTCAGGTCAGGTCAGGTCAGGTCAGGTCAGGTCGGGTCGGGTCGGGTCGGGTCGGCTATGGCGGGTGGGGTGAGGGAAGGTGCAGCGTGATGCGGTGCGGCGCGGCAGCGCGGTGCCGGGCGGGGCGGTGTGGCGTGGTATGTCGTGTGGATAGGATGGGATAAGGTGGGCACACTTTAGGTGCGGAGGGGAGTGGAGGTGTGGTGAGACCAAGCCAGGCTTGATGGGATTAGGGGCGAGGCCGTGTGGTACGGTGGGGTTAGGTGAACTGCCAGTTGTGACGAGATGACGTGAGATGCGAAATTAAGTGAAATGGGAGGCCAATGATCGGGGAGGGTCGCCGGTTCGGGTTGGCTAATGGTCAGGGATGGTCGCCGATTCGGGCTGGCCAATGGTCAGGGATGGTCGCCGGTTCGGGTTGGCTAATGGTCAGGGATGGTCGCAGATTCGGGCTGGCCAATGGTCGGGGACGGTCGCCGATTCGGGCTGGCCAATGGCCAGGGATGGTCGCCGGTTCGGGCTGGCCAATGGTCAGGGATGGTCGCCGGTTCGGGCTGGCCAATGGTCAGGAATGGTCGCCGATTCGGGCTGGCCAATGGTCAGAAGTGGGTGGTCGCTGGTACGGCCACGTGCGAGCAAGGACTGATGGCTGACGTCACCGGTCAGAGCAATGCCAATGACCGTGCGTACTCAGGTGGCAGGCCCGGATGCTCTCAGCCCAGGCCAGTCAGGTCGTGCGTACTCAGGTGGCAGGCCCGGATGCTCTCAGCTCAGGCCAGTCAGGTCGCACCGGAACGGCTGTCGGGGCCGTGGCCTGAACTCCGGGTCAAGGTGCGCCCGGGTCACCTTTGGTCCCACCGGTGTCACGTCAACAGTTACCCCCGTTATCTTACCCGTCATCAGGCCACAGGTCATGACGTCAGAACCACGTTTTGCCCTGACACCCAGCGCGGAGCTCCAACCCTGCGCTGGGGAAGTGATACGCATCAACCTGGGAAAGGGTGGTGGTGGTGGTGGGGTTTCGCTGTTTTTGCCCTAGTAAGACAGCTACGTAGTCAGCTCTGGCTGGCACGTGACACGCGCGTGGCGACAATTGGTGATGACAGCCGGCACGTAGCACCGGCCGCGTGCGCCCCCCCCCCCCATCCCCCCTGCACCCAATGGTGGGTTCAGCGCAGACGATTCATGATGCCCATTTATGATGCTCAGCACGCTGACGCCAGTCGTACCGACGACGCGGTTGAGACGGTATTCTGGCCGGTGTTCAGGGCTGCTTTGGGTGACGTCTGGGGTCAGGTCATGTCGCTGACCCCAGTCTAACCCCGCTTGAGGTGAGCGCCGCCGCTTCCGTCAACAGGCGTCCCATCTGGGCAGCTTCCTGGACCCGCTGGCCGACAAGCTGTTGGTGTCCACGCTGTTCCTGTCGCTGACCTACACGGAGCTGATCCCGCTGGGGCTGACGCTGCTGATCGTGGCGCGCGATCTCGGCCTCATCGCCGCCGCCTCCTGGGTGCGCTACAAGTCCGTGCCGCCGCCGGTCAGTGATGCGGCGGCGCCCCGGCCGCGCCTCGTTAGCGGTCGTAGCGCCGCGCGGAAATGGGCGGTGGCCAGCCGAGCCATGCGATGGTTACAGACGACTTGGTATAGCTGCTGCCTGGCGACTGAAGCCAGCGCTAGGGCAGGTGTGTGGGATTTTCCTACTGCCGTTAGACGCCACCTTTTTCGCATTTTCGAAAGAGCGCGCTTGGCCGTGTGCCATGGGGCAGGGTAGCAGGCGATGCTGTTGGCGGGGAGAGCCGGGCAGGTGTGCTCATGTCCTGATTAGGGCCGCCACGTCCCGCCCGATCGATACACCTCGGGTGATGCCCGGCGGCCATGCGCCATGACTATCACGAGTGTAGTCTGATATCCCTGCCAAACTAAGCCAATTGGCGGCAGGCAATACCCACAGGACAGGCGTGGGGTCGACTATCTGGTGCCGGAGGCCTATGTCCCAGCACTCTCGGGGACACAGCAATTCCGCCGCGCTCCTGTTGGGCTGGGGAGGTGGAAATTATCAACGGAGTGGGAGTAACTGGACCCAACGCCAGTTGAGTCAGGGTGTATGAGTTCTGCCACTAGACCAGCAGTTATGCTTGGAAACCCTAAGCCACCCGTCAAGCTCTTAACTGGAATGCATTTTGAAAACAACAGATACGGTTGCACACTCATGCAGTATCCACAGCTCAGTCTGCGCGGAGGCGTAACCGTGGTTTTCACAGCTTGCTCTAGGCTTATAAGGCTGTCTTCTGGCAGACTTGTTGTTTCCCGGCAAACGCATGCGACGAAACTATTCGCACTGCTTTCAATCGTTCATGAGCGATTGAGCTGGCTGATTTACACCGCTCAACGGCTGATTTACGCCGTTCAACGGCTGATTTATACCGCTCAACGGCTGATTTACGCCGCTCAACGGCTGATTTATACCGCACAACTGCTGATTTACACCGCTCAACGGCCGATTTACAACCTGGATTTTAGTGTTTTAACTCTTTGTTAGATAGTTGGCGTGCATGAGCCTTAGAGACGTAATCAGGGATGGTGAATAATTTTCATCCAGGAACAGTTCTGTGATGTGCTTATAAATATCGGGCCACCGTATATTGGATCGCGGACCGCTCCGGAAAACAAGAAGCGGAGGGACGCCCCCCTCCGTGATGGCCGACTGGTTCGCTGGGCCAGCAGATTGCATGCGACGGAATGTGCAGCCTTTGTGAGGCATTCAGTGCTTTACCACGGTAATTTAGTTGCTGAACGCCAGGGTCTGATTATGTACACATCGCAGTTGGAGTGTTTGAGTTTGGCGAGATTCCTGAGTCATCTATCTTACTTTTGTATGTTATCGTAGCGTTATGAGACGTGTGCCCTATCTCCTTTTCACGCTGCCATACTCCCCCCCCCCCCAAATTCGATATCCTTCCAGACTGTGGTTGATTTCCGGTACTTCAACGTAAACTGCTTAGACCGTTCCCGGTGCCGCAGTTTCGGTATTCGACCACAAGCTGACACGACTTCAGACTGGGAAATCTCCATCACTAGCCTTCGTTCGAGGCGTCCCGGGCGGCCCTGCGTGGAATGTACGTGACCCTGACATGACCTGGTTGCAGGTAACGCTGTCGCGGTATTTTGACCCGACGTTCGCCACGGCCCAGTTGGAGCCGACGCTCATCAGCAAGGTGAACACGTGCCTGCAGATCTCGCTGGTGGCCTCCACGCTGGCAGCGCCCGTGTTCGGCTTCGTCGATCACACCGCGCTTCGACTGATGTGGTGAGGCTGGGCGGACAGGGGTCTGGTGAGCGCTGCTCCTGGCACGGGCTGATGCGAGAGCAGGACAGGGGTGCAGGGCACAGGGACAAGGCAGGCGGAGGTTCGAATCCCGGTAGCGCCATGGCTCCTGAGCGCTAATATGGCCCAGGCAGTCGCAGGCGCTCCATAATAGGGGCGCAACGACGGGCGTCGCGTGCCCTCTCATGATAAATGAATACAGGTTGCGGCATAATGGAGACTAACAGGCCGGGCCTTATGCGTAAGTTTGATTGTATGCTTTTCATGCTGCCGCACCCTCAGATATAAAATGATCGTCTCCCAACACGTAGTGCTCTCAGGACGACTCGGTTTTCCTGCTGTGCGCGTTAGTCAAGCCCGCTCGTCTTGTGTGGAATGGTCGCTTTTTGCTTCGAGAGGTCCTACATTGCCGACTCATATGTCGTCATGCGGGCTTGGTTTTTTGGACTAGAGCCCTTTCGACCAGAAATGATCGTCTCATGGCTGAGGGGTGAAGGAAAATAGTCAACGGTGGAGCAGGCTTGCATGCGCCTGGGGGCCAACCGCCGAGCTTTAACCCGCACATGCGCGCTGGGTACCTGGTCAGGGTCCCCCTTCCCACGGGGCTCTCGGTCCACTCGCAGCTGACGCATGCAGCCTGCCCCGGACAAGCGGGATGTCGCGAGGATGTAGGATGAAGCGAGATGGAGAATAAGAGGGACGGATGTTGTCATGCGTTTACCCAAACCAAGACTTCTAGAGTAAAGGGTTGCGCAAACATGACGCCACCGGGGAACTTCAGCTTGGTAACCCATGGTATGATTTTGGTTGATACTTCGAAAAGGTTGTTAGATAGTAATAACATGGTTAAAAACGGAGACTTCGCCGGTGAACTGGGTGTCAATATTTTCTTCTTACTTATTTCAATGTTATGTGCGTAGATGTTGTACATTTTACATTTCAAACCCTCTAAAGACAAATCAGTACTAGGATCTTCCTTCAAAAATAGATCCTAGTAAACCACGTCTTCTAGTTGCAGCACCCGCGCCATATTAGTGGTAGTCAACGCGCCGTGATAGTTCTTTGGAATGCTTTTTGTAAGAAACGTTATACGTAATATTTGTACTTAATTTATAAATAGACAATAATCGTCTATTTATTGTCATGCTGCAGTAACTATATGGAGTGAAATGTGAAAACATGGCTTGTGAGGAGGGCAGATACTAAGAATTTCCTTGTTGCTGCGCTATGATCTCCCTAAGCCCCGGCTAACTTGCAGATCCATAACGTCGGATAGGTTAGGTGAAAAAGGTGCGCAGGGAATGGCACCCCGACTACCGTATTGTATCCCCAAGACAGTTCCCGAGCAGAGGTATGGGCCACGACTCTTGCTAGCAGAAATGGCAAAACTTGCCAGAAATCGTCCCATTGTACAGGAGAATCTGCTATCTTGAACTGAAACGGCGCGCGCTGCACTTACACCTGCCGGGGTTCATCACTCACAACCCCCCCCCCCTGCACTAGGGCAGGCCAACTCACCACCCATCTTGGCAACACCTCTCTTAAGGCTACAGGATGTGCATTCCAACTTCTCAATGCGCGCCCCAGGGTGCTACGAGTCCGCCTGGCCCGCCGCTTCCCATCCCCATCTGTTGTCATCGTTGCTGCACGTTGCACTCTAGAACGGACTGTTTCGAAGCACTTCCAGCTAGATTTCGGAATAAATCACTGGTGAACGGGCGACCCCACCCCACTGTCGGGGGCAGTCCCTCTGTCAGGGGCAGGTCGGAGGCGCATTTCAGCAATAATTGTGTAGCCCTTGTGCGAAACAGCGCCGCTTTTCAGCCGAAAATGTTTCATTGAATGCTAGGTCGAAAAATCCGGTTTATGGAAGCATTCATGTTAAAACCAGCCCGCAAAAGACAGCGTTTTCACGCCGCCGTAACGTTGGTGCCATGTCTTAGTCTCATGCTGACGTCACAGCATCGCCCACCCAGAATGCAGTAGTGCGGGGGCTTGACCCAAATGATGTAACCTCCGTCTGCCATCACGATCCCGTCGCGCTGTGTTGCAAGGTGGGCAAGGCCTTGGTTCCAACGTCGCCGCCCACCTTGTCGCATCTGAGGTCCCCCCTTCCCCAGGTGCGTGACGGCCGGCACCACAGTGGCGTCCGGCATGGTGTACGCCCTGCTGAAGAGCACCACCTACAAAATGATGGCACGCGATGAGCGATCCTAGTGGGCCGGCGACCAGACTCCAGCGCCGCACAGCGGCGGATTTTGAAACCTGTACCTCAGCAGCTGGCCGGCAGGGCGTGCAGTCCCGCATACTGCCGGGTGCTATGCGCGCATTGCACGTCGCATGACGACGCAGTACATCGATTTGTAGTCTTTGTCCTGGCGGACGCCCAAATCTAGTGAACTTGTGATTTTTACCCAGTGTACTGGAGGAATACATATTTTGTATCATCTATCTCGTGCGAGACGTCATGTGCCGACGACAATGAGGGGGACTCAGCCATACCCGAGGATCAGTTCCGCACAAGCGTGTGGTTGAATCTCCTGCCCTATGACGTACAGGACGAGCACCAATAGTGCGTCTATTAACGACCAACATACCAAAAGCAAATGACAGCATCAATAGGTTATTGGGTGTGCGCAGCACGCCAAGGGAACAGAACACGATGGCTGGCGGCCGGCCTGCCGCGGGGACCGACTCCGCCGGGCGGGATCACGGGCAAGCGTGGGGCGTCGTCGGCTCGGCGGCCGCCCGCGTGTTACAGCGGTGGGCAGGGGCGGCGGCGGCGGCGGCGCCACCCCGGCTCAGGCGACTCGGGTCACAGCAGGTCACAGCTCCGTCCTGCGAGGCCGAGCGTGGAGTTATGGCAGAGCAGCGGCCGCTCCCGTCGCGGCCCGTCGCGAGCAGAGGGCCGCACAGCCGACAGAGATACAATGCGGAATACACGCGACGGCGAAAGGCGATCATTTTCTGATGCAGGCGAACACCCATCTACTCACACGCGCTCGGGTGGGGGGTGGGGTAAAATTGACCCCTTCCGAAGTTTTTTTTCGGAATTTCTGTTTTTCCAAGGTTTTAGAACGGCGTGGCGTATCCACGCCATATTTTGCGTTCGTATAGACAACTGAATGGCGGTTCGTCTGACATCAAAAATTTAGACGTGCCTTGTAAGGTCGCTGACCTAATGGCAGGTCAAAGTCAGACCACGGTTTCAGCGAAGGCAATTTCTAGGGAATCGTTCAATCTGATCCAACAACGGAGCGTTAGACGAAACCACACATCTCTGAGATACTTTCTTAGGCAATGCAGCAATTGAATGAACAAATTACATTGACCTAAGGTCAGGTATGAAAGTCAGACCAATGCCAAAACCAACCTGTTGTATTATTCTATGGCTTGCTGTATGAGGTAGTTTCTGGTGCTCATTTCGAATTTATTGATAACAGGAACCCGCATTATACACTTTCCATGGACTTCTTTAAGGTCAGATTAGGTCACTGATCTAAAACGACCCAGGTCAACATTTTTTCTCTAAGGAACATACTATCCAGCGTAATCTTTGTTGCTTATTCAAATACAAAACTCAAAGCAGTCTTGTATGATTTCAGTCACCATGACTCAAAACGTCAAGCAAGGTCACTGACCTTAAGTGAAAATGGGACCTTTTGCTTAGAACAGTTATCTAGGTTCTTTTTATCTAGGGGCCCTTTGGAGATCAACCTGAAATTTTGCCTTTTTTGACCTTGGTAGACCTGAAGGTCATGACCTAGGAGCCTCAAACTTTGACCTAAGTGAGTTCACGTACATGTCAACACACCCTGTGCATTTGGTGTCTCTAGCCCCCTTAGTTCCTGAGATCTCAGGGGGTCAGATTGACCCCCACCCGAGCGAAGGGTATCCGGCCGGCCACCCGGGTGCGTTTTAACCAAACGATGGGAAAACGCACGGCCGAAATATTACAAGCCAGCTCAACGCCTGTTGAAGGTTCAGCAGCGAGAGCCAAGGTTCTCATATGCATCTAGGTCGTGTTTCGTGCTGTGTTTATCTCTATCTTCCTGGGATCCCTATTTCCTAGTATAATACTGTTCGCGTTGGTGACTCATCAGGCGCAGTGAGTGTTCAATGGTGGATCACTGTTGGAGCGACGTCAGAGCACTTGGCAAGTCTATTTTTAAATTACCTTGTCACGTTTTTCTTCTTTTTTTGGAAGCCCCCCTCTACTCGGGCATCCTTCGTCAGACACTCTGTACACATCCTTCCCGCAGTCGCTCCCATCCCTCGTCTTGTCCCAACACATCATCGTTCCCCGCCATGCTCCGACCTCCTGTCCCCCTCTCACCGTCCCGGACTAACTGAACTTCCACTTGCCCTGCGTGCAGTCCCCTTCCAATCCTGCGCTGTGCTCAGACTCATCACCAGCCCTTCACCGTGTCCAGACTCATCACGAGCCCTTCACCGTGCTCAGACTCACCGCGAGCGCTTCACCGTGTCCAGACTCACCACGAGCCCTTCACCGTGTCCAGACTCATCACCAGCCCTTCACCGTGCCCAGACTCACCACGAGCCCTTCACCGCGTCCAGACTCATCACGAGCCCTTCACCGTGCTCAGACTCACAGCGAGCCCTTCACCGTGTCCAGACTCACCACGAGCCCTTCACCGTGTCCAAACTCATCACCAGACCTTCGCCATGTCCAGACTCATCACCAGCCCTTTACCGTGTCCAGACTCATCACGAGCACTTCACCAGCCCTTCACCGTGGCAGGACTCATCACGAGCCCTTCACCGTGTCCATGCTCACCACGAGCCCTTCACCGTGTCCAGACTCATCACCAGCCCTTCACTGTGTCCAGACTCATCACGAGCCCTTCACCGTGTCCAAACTCATCACGAGCCCTTCACCGTTCCCAGACTCATCACCAGCCCTTCACCGTGACCAGACTCACCACGAGCCCTTCACCGTGACAGGACTCATCACCAGCCCTTCACCGTGGCAGGACTCATCACGAGCCCTTCACCGTGGCAGGACTCATCACGAGCCCTTCACCGTGGCAGGACTCATCACCAGCCCTTCGCCGTGTCCAGACTCATCACCAGCCCTTTACCGTGTCCAGACTCATCACGAGCACTTCACCAGCCCTTCACCGTGGCAGGATCTCATCACCAAGCCTTCACCGTTTCCCATACTCTACCACGCGGCCCTTCACCGTGTACCAGACTCATCACCAAGCCCTTCCACTGTGGTTCAGAATCCATCACGAGCCCCTCCACCGTTCCCAACTCATCTCATCCAGAGCCCCTTCACCGTGGCAGGACTCATCACCAGCCCTTCACCGTGGCAGGACTCATCACCAGCCCTTCACCGTGACCAGACTCACCACGAGCCCTGCACTGTGTTCAGAAGCATCACGAGCCCTTCACCGTGCCCAGACTCACCATGAGCCCTTCACCGTGGCAGGACTCATCACCAGCCCTTCACCATGTCCAGACTCATCACGAGCCCTTCACCGTGCCCAGACTCACCACGAGCCCCTCACCGTGCCCAGACTCATCACCAGCCCTTCACCGTGCTTCAGACTCATCACCAGCCCTTCACCGTGTCCAGACTCACCACGAGCCCTTCACCGTGTCCAGACTCATCACGAGCCCCTCACCGTTCCCAGACTCATCACCAGCCCTCACCGTGCCCAGACTCTCTCCATCTTCCTCGCCCTGTCCGAACCCCTACCCTGGCCGTGCCTGGACTCAATACAGTCCTCTTACCATGCCTGGACTCCTACCCTACTCCTACCCTTGCCGTGCCCGGACTCTTACCCTAGCCGTGCCCGGACTCCTACCCTTGCCGTGCCTGGACTCCTACCATGGCCGTGCCCGGACTCATCATCATCCCCTTGCCATGCTCGGACTCATCACCGTTCCCAGACTCACTCCAGTCCCGTCACCCTGCTCGACTCCTACCCTGGCTGTGGCCGAATTAATCACCACCGCCTTATCATGCCCGGACTCATCCCTATCGTGACCGGACTTACTCCAGCCCCATTACCCTGCCCAGACCCTGGCCGTGCCCGGACTCCTACTCTGGTCATGACCGGACTCGTATCCTGGCCATGCCCGGACTCCTACTCTGGCCGTGCCCGGACTCCTACTATGGTTGTGCGCGGACTCCTACCCTGGCCGTGCCTGGGCTCCTGCCCTGGCCGTGCCCAGACTCACTGCCGTCCCTGCAGCGGCTCGGTCACCTGCCGGGCCACTGTTTCCTCTTGTCGGTGAGCGGCACGTAGACGACGCCGAGCAGCCGGGACCGGGTGATGCTGCCGTCGGCCGCCTTGTCCACCTGCTCCATGTACTGGTGGTCGCCCTCGCGGCCCACAGGGATCAGCAGCCGGCCGCCGGGCTTCAGCTGGCTCACCAGCTGTGCGAGGGGGCGGCGGTCAGCGCCGGTGCCGCCCGGTCAGCGGGGGCTCGGCCGGCGGCCCAGTGCCCCGCATGGCCCACACCAGCCAGCGCCATCACGAGCCGACAGGGATGCTAAGTCATACTGATGATACAGTGCCCTACAGCACGAATAGCCCCACCAGTCGGAAGCGAAGGCCGGCAATTCAGCGGCATTTCACCCGCAGTCCGTCAACGACCATACAGTCAATTACCACTTACTAAATACGGCATATCAATACATGTATCGATTTCAGCGTGCGGCACTCCTCTGTTTCGCACAGAGGGCGCCCCGCGCCGCGTGCGCCGTCGCCAGCCTGACCTCGTCAGGCAGGACAGGCGCGGCGGCGCCCACGTGGATGGCGTCGTAAGGCGCCAGCGGGCTGTAGCCGAGCCGACCGTCGCCTGTCACCAGCCGCACGCGCTCGGCCGGCAGCAGGTGCGGCTGGTCCTTCTGGATGTTGCGCCGCGACTGCTCGACCAGCTCCTCGATGTGGTCCACGCCGACGGCGCGGCCCGGCTCACCCACCTAAGGGGAGGGGGAGGGGGCTCGTCGCCGGGCGGCTGGTCTGGTCACGGCATATGCTCAGGCCACCTAGGACGGCGTCCACGACGCCCGGCGAATCGGCGCCAGGTGCTCACACAAACAGAGGCCTGTATCCGCTCGCGACCTGTAATAGGTGACCGGCGCTCTCCCGAGACGCAGCACACGAGTCAGCATTTGCCGGTCGCCATTTCTCCCGCGCCGTTTACACGCCGCCGACGGGCGATCACCACCGATTAGCCGTGCTCGCGGCGGTCACGCACCATGAGGGCCATGCAGGCGGTGAGGTAGCCGCTGCCGGACCCGACGTCCAGGGCCGAGGCGCCCGGCTTCAGGCGCGACGAGAGATTCTCCAGAGCGAACGCGTGCTGAGGAAGACAACGGCGGGTGTGCATGATACGTCCCGCTATATGACGGTCACGGTATATCGTCAGCCTCACCGAGATGCAGTGGATGTGAAATTCATTCTGTGCTCTGTCGGAGCCATTTACTGAGGGCGCTGAGTTGTCACAGCCCATCATGCGTGATTTTCAGTTCTTCTCGTTGGCGCACGATCACCGTCGAGCACATCCAATTGCTCACTCTGCACGACGTTCGGCACAGTGACCACAATGTCGACACACCTTAAAACTGTCACCATCACCATCTCACCACGTAGTGACGTCAGACGCTGCCTACACGCGGACGCCCACTCCTTACCATGCCGCCTACTCACACCACGTAACTGCTCACCACGTGTGAACGTGACCAGCTCCTCGCGTGCGGACGGCGTCAGCTCACCATGTGCGGGGCGGAGATGGTGACCCCGTAGCCGATCGACTGCGGCCGGTCGCTGTACGGGTTGTGCGGACAGTAGTTGCCCCGGTCCACCTGCCTCATGACGCGTTCCACGCGGTCCGACTCGATCACGCCGTTGGCTGGGGTCGAGGTCAAGCGATGTCAACCCCGCAGCGGAGGCCGCAGGCAAAGACTACGGCAAACGGAGACAGTCCGACGTCGGTGAGGCAAGCGCACTCCTCACTTGAGAAACGCACGTAGTGGTCGCCTGCCCATTACCTATCACACTGCCCCATGTATTACTTCGAAGAGGAGATAGTGGGTGATGCCATTGTTGTTTACAGCTACAAAGTGACGCGATTACGACGCACCGTACATACAGAGAATGCGATCAGTCGTGTATTGATGACGAATTCTCAAAATTCAAGAGACACATTGTTCTGCATTGCATAGTTTGGGTATGGCCAGAGGCGACATTGCCGACTGACTGCATAGCGATTCGGTGCATTATCCTTGTAGAAAGAAAAGCAGCACGCCCGATCTATTAAAACCTTGCGGTTACACAACATCCTCCGAGGCTGACGCTATTTGGCAATCTGTATTCGTTTCAAAGTTCGCCCGTAGTCGGTGTTGGCGGCCGGCCCGCCCAAGCCCCCCCCCCCCCCCACAGACCGCTCCATCGACACCTCGCCGGGGCGCCGCGCGAGGAGCCCCTGTACACTCCCGTCGGCGCGCCGCGGCCATAGCGCCCCACTCTGGCAGTGGCTGAGTGGCAAATCAACCTCACCTCGCAGTAGGCGCACCATGTCGGCATTGTCCGTGCCATGCGACCGCCAGGCCATGTGTAGGCGCTGGCACGACGTCAGCGTCGTCAGCAGCGTCAGCGACAGCGGCAACCGGGCCGTGACCATGTGACACTGGGGGAAGACAGCAGCATGTCAGCTCATCATAACCACTGTGTGGCATAACAATTGTGTGAATGCAAGTCATATTTTCGAAATTTGTAAGGCACACAGTTGGACAAGTAATGTTATCTAAATGATAAAGGGTCAATAAGAGTAGAGTTATGCCACACTGTATTTGTAATCTGCTTGTAGCATGCTCCATCTAAAGCTCTGTACAGAAAGCATATAGATCCTCTTACTTGGCATGCCTGTGTATTCAACATGATTTGTAAAGGATGGCCTTGGCAAAACACAACTTGTTATACATCATTGGTACATATGTAAATTTCATTCCAGGCCCAAAATTTACTGCTTAAAACATCAGGGCATGTAAGGAGGGTACCCAGGTTCAACATTACAAGAAGATGAATGCCTGGAAAGCAGCTTTTTTGCACTCTAGCTAAAATCAGAGCTTCAGAGTAAAATAGTAAAATAGTAAATAGCAAAATAATAGTAAAATAGTAAAATAGCTTCAGAGCTAAAATTACACTTATAATTCAAAGGACGATATGAGCAATTGCATCAATATTATATGCTGGATACATATCAAACTTAAGTACACCTATGTAAATGGTTAGCAGCCACAAGGTTTCTCACAATTTATAAAACTATGAATTACAGATCTGCTAGTGTTGATGGTAAAACTCTCATAAACATATCCTGAATGAGCATACTACTGGACAGTTTTGTGTTTTGATGGACCATTGTCACATGGTATTTTGACACTTTCATTGTCTTATAAAAAACAATGGTAAGTAATACTAAACAGGCTTAACACTAGCATTCATTTGATTACCATGTATTTAAAGGTAATGGGCTAAATCAATTGTCACTACTCCATAGAATGAGTGTAGCAATATTGCTGCAGTTGGCCTTTTCAACCCAATAATGAGCATATGACAGCTTGGACCCTAAAAATTTTTCCTTATGCATAATGCCAATGTAAAAATTAATATAGACACCACATGCATACCCTTACATGGGCAGCAGCAGCTTATCTCTAGAAGAAATGGGCACAAGTTTTGGAGCCAATGCATTATGAGCAGGTCCCAGTTTACAACTAAAAACATGCATTTTTCCCTGAATCTGATTCAGTTTCCTTGGTCATGGAGAACTCTGAAGCCTCCCAACTCAAGAAGGAAGCTGCACCCCTAATTATGAGAACTTACGGACTCAGGGTCCCAGATTTTGGGAAATTGAGTGCCAAGCCCGCACACGTTCGTGCGGATGAACAAATTAAGATGGCTCAGGGCCCTGAGCTCCAATCCTGGGGACACTCCCGTGTCCTCAAACGTAACTCCCACACCTCTGCTACAGTATTATTATCTTTCGATGACCCAGAAACTCCTGGGGCGCCGCGGTCACGCCCACCTGACCCTGCACGATGCACTATGAGGACCCAATGAAAACAAATCGCATCGAACAGAACAGACACAAAAATATGACGCATGAAAGACAGTCACCGTCAGCTGATCAGGTGAAGTGATGAATGACGTCATAGTGCTATTTTTAACAAACAATACAAATTTAAGCCACAAAATAGTTGTTGACTTACAGCCAGCCAAGGCCACGGCCGGTGCGTTTTCTATCTGTATTTTGTGTGCGCGTTCTATCTTCATATCTTGTAACAGCGAATACAGATAGACGTAGGAAGGATACATGACACGGATACTGCAAACATGACTTATATTTCATGTACGCCAGAGGTGTAGTTTCCTATTCAGTCAGGGAGGAGGGGCGAGCATTCAGCTTCTTCCCCAACTTAAGCTGGAGCCCACCAGCTTTCAAAAGACAGAGGACCAAATGTGGGGAGAAGCACGCTTATTGGCGCGTTTTTTTTTAGGTGGGGGCGTGGTGCGATATCTTTTACTGATCAGCCTCTAATTTGTTTTACGCAAGTACGTCCCTGCGCTGACGTCTAGATCAGTCGACGTTTTATATTATCGACCTCCAGCTCATTGTTGAATATTTAAAAGGCCCCTCTCACACATAATATGGTGCTCTTGCTATCGCCCTCGCAAAATGTTGTATGCTCAACACATAATGATGTCCAGAAGGCAGGAAACCTTGAAGCAAGGTCTCAACTTGGGCTGTCAACTCTGAAATGAATATTGCAACGACCCTCGCATTCAGCTCTCCTGGCCACACCTATGGCAGTTTCATTTTTGTTTTCATTCATCATTCGCATTGTATATTATGTCATAAGAAACAGTTTGAGCCTATGTTAAAGTCCCACAGCAAATGTTCGCCGACACTTCCAGCAGTGTCGAATCGCACCTCCCACAGACAGCATATTATACAAGCCAAGCAAGAGTCTGGTAAAATCGGTCCAGTTAAGGCAATTTAATCAGTCGAGTGCAGGTTTCTGTTTAAGTCAAATTATTACACAATATTAACGTGCAGACAAACCAATTTGATGAAAGGGAGCACGAAGGTAAAGTAAAAGTTCTTCCAGACTGCAACCCTGAACTATTTGCGACATGGTACGCAGGTTGCATCGAGTAAATGTCGAGGCACCGTCCGAAATCTTTGAACTATCGATCCACAAGCTCGAAGCTTACAATTATCTATCCAATATTATGGCCACGCATTGGACTGCAGTATGAACGCGAGTGGCGTATACATGCTGTGTCTAAATGCATGCTTAGTGCGTTGTTCTTTGGATGTTTATTGTCATTGAATTTGTAATATTCTGCATACAAGACCAAGACCACTACACACGAGAAAAAAATCGACAGTGTCAAGCAATTAACTAACGACAATTTATTTGGAGCAGGTGGCAAAACCACACGAATCGATCATGCCAAGTAACCCAATCAGATAAGAATATAAGCCGTCTCCTTTAGAAACCACGCAATCAGACGTCACTACGCCGAATCGATTTGCATGTCTCGACTAAAAACGTGTTGAATACAATTGTAAGATATGTTAGTACCTAGAGGTACATTTATTGATTTGAATACCTCGACTAAACTTGTGTTGAATGCATTTATAAAATATGTTAGCACCTGTACGTACAGTTATTGATTTGAATGCCTCGACCAAAAACGCGTTGAATGCAGTTATAAGATACGTTAGCACCTACAGGTACATGTAACAAACAGCGCCCCGCATTTTACTGAATACTGTAGGCATGCAAACTAATGCTATCACTGCATTGCACGTTTACTCCACTCATTCGCGGCACAAGTCACTATCACAGCCATGTAACTTGGTATTCGATAGGCGTCTTCAGACAATTACCAGACGTATTGCCGTAGAGCATCGTCCTTTCGTGATCCACACATTCACCAAATATTAAAGCCTCAGGTAAGCACTGTCTCCACGCTCCACATCAGTCCACATCAGTCCACATCAGTCCGCGATCAGGCGTCAGCCGTCAGGAGGTGCAGTCGTACGACTTGTACGTATACATTCGCCGCCGCTTGTACCCGATCGTGCAGTACAGCATCATCGACGAGACCAGACCGAACAGCTGAAAACAGACAGCAGTGAGCTGACCGGGGAGCGGTAGCTGCCTACGCGCTCCGCGGAACTGAAGCCAACGTGGAGCTATGCAACGCCTCACACATCATGGCCGTTCGCTTATCGTAGGCAGTGCTGACTCAGTACTGCTAGGTAATATATCAAACGTTCAACAGCATGAGCAAGGCTTTCAACAGCATGAGCGTAGCTTTCTCCAACATGAGCAGAGCTTTCAACAACATAAGCAAAGCTCTCAACGGGACGAGGATGGTTTTCAACAGCATGAGCGTAGCTTCTAAGAGCATAGGCCAACGAACGGAACAAAACACTGGGGGGGGGGGGGGGATGACAGATTCTTCTTTGCTGCATCCCTAAAATGACACGTACATACCTCGTTTGTGAAGCAGCTCATAGTTACGACCGAGGCAGCTGGCCGGCTGAGTATTATTACTATAAATGTATTTTCAACTTGAGCAACCCGACCCAGCCGTCACGTTTGCAGAAGTCAATATCGTTGCAACCGCTGATTGCAGGTTCATGCAGATTTCAGGAAAGGTCCACTTCTTTGAAAGTTGTGTTGTAAAAATTATAAGGTATCCGCATGCAACCTGTCTGATCTGTCAACAATGCCCTGCAAAACAGCGTCATTACTAAGATTTCACATTACTAATGTATTAGCAATAAAAAGGTAAAATTTTCAAATTGCGAGGAAGCTGAAGAACACGGAGCAGAAAACAAAAAACCAAATGCACAAAAATGTGATTCGAAATGTGCAGGCTGACACGCGCTCTTGCACGCTAGCCATGGGTTCACCCGCTGGGGAGCTTTTAAAGATTGGTGTCGGATGTCAGCAGCCAGGGACCCAAAAAATGTCCAGCCCATAGGTTCGTCCGTACCTGACCAGATTGAGGCCAGCAGCGCCCTCCCTGAAGCCCATCTTGAACACAAGACATTGCGGCCAACACTGAGAAAGGCTGGCCCAAGCAAATCACACGGACGTGAACTCCTGCTTCTGATGACCAATACGTGTCGGTTTTTACAATCGCGTGGTCATAACTGGAAGTCGCAGATCATCGTAAATTTATCACCGATGTTCGCTGATAAAATTGCCGAGCCTGACCGGGCTCAGTCATTTTAAGTTTCGTGTCGTGGTTTGGCACGCGAAAACCGCATTGCTTATTGAAGAAGCTATGCCAGTGGACCTTTACGTGCGAAGTTAACATGAAATATAGACTTTTCGCTCGTCCCGCGCCATATAAGGCACATTTCTGGTAGGAGGTTAGATCGGTGCAAGCAGATGCAATAGAGAAAATATTGACGCTGATCTGCACGCTGGTATCCTACAGCCTGCCTAACCTGCACGAAGGCAACAGCTAAGGCCGTAAGGCCCAGCACATGTAGCCGCTCCAAGAACCAGATGTAGATCATTTCGAAGCAGCCGGTGGATCGCCAGTTTGACGGATGAGGGTTCTGAATGCATTCTGCAACGGACCACATACGCCTCCTTACTGCTCCAATGTACGACACGCCCAATCAACACCAACAATCAACACGACCAGATACCCCTCTGTTTTACAAACAGGCCACTCACAGCCATTAGGCGTGAGGAATAACGCTCTTGCATTCTTGCGGAAGGAGCAGGAACATGCTTGCCCAGTCAGACCCGCACGTGACACTGCCATGTCGGTGAGCCCCGGCAGTGAGCGCGGCTCGGCTCGCACGTGACGAAGCTATGCCGGTGAGCTCCGGCAGTAGGCGCGGCTTAGCTCGCACCCGGTGAGCTCCAGCAGTAAGCGCGGCTTGGCTCGCACGTGACGCTGCCATGCCGGTGAGCTCCGGCGGTAAGCGCGGCTCGGTTCGCACGTGACACTGCCATGACGGTGAGCTCCGGCAGTAAGCGCGGCTCGGCTCGCGCGGCCGTACCTGTGCTGTCGACGTGCGGCCGGCAGCAGGCTTCCGGCACAGCCGGCCTGTTGGGGCCGCTTCTGACGGCCAGCCAGTCCCGGTAAGAGTCCACTCCGCAGCAGTCGAACTGGCGGCACAGTCGGCAGCCGGCTGTCATGTGAGCACACCGTGCCTCGGACGTGGGCAGACCGTGCCTCGGACGTGGGCAGACCGTGCCTCGAATGTGGGCAGACCATGCCTCAGTCGTGGGCAGACCATGCCTCGGTTGTGGGCAGACCGTGCCTCGGTCGTGGGCAGACCGTGCCTCGGTCGTGGGCAGACCATGCATCGGTTGTGGGCAGACCGTGCCTCGGTTGTGGGCAGACCGTGCCTCGGTCGTGGGCAGACCATGCATCGGTTGTGGGCAGACCGTGCCTCGGTTGTGGGCAGACCATGCCTCAGTCGTGGGCAGACCATGCATCGGTTGTGGGCAGACCGTGCATCGGTTGTGGGCAGACCGTGCCTCGGTCGTGGGCAGACCGTGCCTCGGTTGTGGGCAGACTGTGTCTCGGTCGTGAGCAGCGATGGAAGCAACACCGCACACGCTGCGGGCTGTACGTCGGACCAAGCCTGCGCAGGAATGCGTTTAGAAATGGGAAGTAATTACATGCCTCCGACTATATGCAAGGTGCACAACGGCATGCGTTGATGTGCAATGCAAGAGGGGGCTGTGTGCATCAGTGATATTCACTTTTTGTGCGTTGCTGATAGCCGTGACGTATGTGCTGAGCCGCAGTCCAGTCGTGAGCGCAGCGGTATAGTTATACCTGATATCATAATGCCCGTGGAAAAATACGGCTCATTCAGTAAAGGTGCAGGCGGCGACTGGAATCATAAATCCAAAGGTTGTGATAACCAAGACTAACAGGCATAGGTACCACGTCGTGCATAAGCTGTATCTTAAAATGCAACAAATAACCATTCATGTAATCTTGCACCCCACACGCACAGGAAGCGTACAAACTTGGAACGTCGCAATCAGTGCACTCTTTTTGCGTTCGATGTGTGCATGCGCCCTGCCGCAATCGCGCCGCCATGTTGCTGCGTCCGCTCCACGCAAGCGAGCAGCCAACTTTGGGGAGATGCCATCTGGTGGCATCCGGTGCACGATCGAAGAATCGAACACACATTGGATAACGCCAGCACTGGCAGATGACTCGCATCTCTGCGTCGGAGCCGCTAATCGCATGTGTTTAATGTTTCACATTTTCCTGTGCTTTTCACGTTGCTGGACGCTGGGTTTTGTCGGCGCTGCTGGCGGGTTGCTGGCGGCCGCCGGTTACCTGCCGTTGGGGCGGGGTGCTGGCGGCTGTTGGTTACCTGCCGTTGGGGCGGGGTGCTGGCGGCTGCTGCTTATTCGCCGTTAGGGCGGGGTGCTGGCGGCTGCCGGTTACCTGCCGTTAGGGCGGGGTGCTGGCGGCTGTTGGTTACCTGCCGTTGGGGCGGGGTGCTGGCGGCTGCTGCTTACCTGCCGTTAGGGCGGGGTGCTGGTGGCTGCCGGTTACCTGCCGTTAGGGCGGGGTGCTGGCGGCCGCCGGTTACCTGCCGTTGGGGCGGGGTGCTGGCGGCCGCCGGTTACCTGCCGCTAGGACGGGGTGCTGGTGGCTGCCGGTTACCTGCCGTTGGATGTGGTCCCACGCCAGCGCCAGGCCACCAGTGGCGCTCAGGTGCTGGCGCAGACCGGCCAGCAGCTCCGAGTGCAGGATTTCCGCCAGCTCCGCGCGGTAAGTGATGCCTAGAGCCAGCACAAGCAGCTCCAGCAGGAAGGCTACCGCCACGGTGACGAAGTACTGCGGTGGAACGGTGGAGGTCACCAAAACATCGTTCATCATCAGAAAACCAGCGCTGGCGTGTATACAGGGTGGTAAAAAGGCTTCTATCTAAACTGGCCAGACCATCGCTAATCACAAAGGCCAGCCCGACCGCTCCCATGTTACAAAGTATGCAGCACTGTACAATGTACTGAGCGGCTGCGCTGCAGTCCCACTGAGCCGCTGTGAGGTCCAGTCGCGCCCCCCCCCCCCCCCCCCATTTCGTACGCGTATTCCCTGTGCTCCCGATGCACGTCAACACATCCCGACAGACGGGACGTGTTGTGGATTACGGGTCCCCTGGCCCAGGCATTTATCAGCCCTGAGCAGGGATGCGCTATCAAGAAACTCCACGCTTCGGTCATACATTCTTCACATGGTGTCATCTTGATTGAGAGCCAGGGGGCCGCACCGTCATAAGGAGGCAGCGGCTGCTGTAGCAGACGCCGCAGCAGCCGCAGCCGGCGACGGCGGCGGCTGCTGTGCCGGCTGCGATCAGCAGCCAGTCGGCGGCCAGCGCCTGGTGCTGGGGCAGCAGGCTGGCGCCGCCGTCCAGCGCCAGCCGCAGCCAGATGCCCAGCCCCAGCAGTCCGCAGCCTGCCAGCTGGCGGCAGAGGGCGCCGGCTGTTACAGGCGTGCCGCCGGCCACAGAGCGCCATCGCCTGGGCGCGGACGGAGAGTCACAGCAGGCCACGAACTGTCGTAGAGAGTTGTGGAGAGGGTTGGATAATGTTACAGCCGTTTGCTTGAGCTTACAATTGGCCGCAGTGAGACTTAGGTTGAAGCGAGAGACACAAGACATTCACCGCAGTTTGGGCACTGGTCACATATAATCACAAACGAATATCAACAGTTATAACTGAGGGTCACAGATGGTCTCAAAGCTTCTTAGATGATTACAAGCGATCACGAATGGTCACAGAAGACCACAAATGATCACAGATGATGGCAGCGAAACAAAGACGTTTTTAGGGCCGTGCTCACAGACGGTTTAAAGTGAAGAAGGAATGCTGCGAATAATTGAAGACAGTTCGGTGAACCACTCCCGGTGCTTCAGAACGGAAAATGGAGAGTTAGCAACTGTCACATACCCCCTCCACATGGCAGCATGACCGAACCTTGGCGGCTGAGAAGACTGGGAAACCTTGGGAGAGACCTACCGCAGCGTATCAGCAGGGTCTGACTGCGTGGGTTATAGCCAGATCTTGGGTGGAGCAACCCACCGTGAGCTAATTTATAGACAGGCCAATTTCTGGCTCCGAACGTTTGGTCATAAACGGGAAGATGCCGTGATGCAACACCATATACACAAAATTGTTTGCATAAATTGCCTCAGTTGGCAGATGAAGAGGCTCTTTTGCGTGTCAGCGGATAATTGCGCATGATGATCACGTCTTATCGGCGATCAAATCCATTAAAATTAAATTAGCCTGAGTTGGACGACTCCGATCATGATCAGCGTCGCGCAAGCTTCATTTCTGAACAAAAACGTTTTGTTTTCCTTCCAGTTTGTGAAAAAAGGAATAATATAAACCAGTGTGGCTTCAGCATACGGCATCCAGATTTTCCTGACATTCGCTGCCGACAATCTCCAAGCACCGGCGATACGTCGACACCTCGCGCTGAGGGCATGATACTCCGAGGCAGCGATGGCGCCGCCTGTGCCAGCAGCGGGGGCCCAGTCGCGTTCGCCCCGCGCTGAGGACGCGGTACCCCGAGGCAGCGACGACGCCGCCTGTGTCAGCAGCGGGGGCCCAGTCGTGTTCGTCTCGCTCTGAGGACACGGTACCCCGAGGCAGCGACGCCACTGCCTGTGTCAGCAGAGACGGCGCGGCAGCCGCGGACGGCCGGACGTGTCAGGTGCGGCGTCCGACGACATCTAACGCCTGAGTCGATGACACCCGAAGCCTGGGTGGACACGCGGGCCACGACACCGCAGGAGAACCGAGCGCTCGTCGGCACCGGTCCGGTCACGGCGAAGCGTCGGGCGCTGGTGGGAGACGCCGGACGGGACGGTCTCGCCAGTGGCGAGAGGCGGCTCTGAAGCCGTCTTCACTGTGGCACGCTGCTCAAGGAGTGTAGTTGTCCCGAACACGTAAGGAGCGGCAACAGGGTGCGGATGGAATGGATTATGTTGTTCCGAAGCAGCTGCGGGCGCCCATGAGAGCCCCTTGGGTTATAAAACGTGGGCGATGTGAAAGCATTTCTGGACCAAGCACCTTCTGCCGTGACATTGTTAATGCACACGCTCACCCGTCTCACT